CCCCAGGGGCTTTCCAAAAGCTCTCCTAATTCCCATACATAAACTCTGGTGTGGTTGAAAGGGGCTTGTTATGAATAATAAAGGATGCTCTTTTCACCTTTATCCAGAGCTATTTCAGGAATGGGGACAAAAACAAGATATGAAAAAAGATGCTCCTATTTTATTAAGGAAATTACAAGGGTTTTAGGAGCTCTGGCCAACAGCCGGGAACAAAGACCAAATATATATTTCTTATTATATGACAATATCACAGAAGGCGATTAAGAAACACTTGTGAAAGTCACAGCCCAGGGACACAGGCCCACTACAATACTGAAATTTCATCATAAGATTATAGAATGCTTCCTCTCTCCCACACCATACCACCACTAACAGGGCTCCAGTATAATAGTGGATTACAGATGAGAGAGCTACAAAACACAGACTCTCTGAGAAGTAGTATCTAGGGAAGCTTAAAGTCAGGAGAAGAGAACAAAACAAAGATAGTAAAGGAATTTGAAGCCTCTGGCACCTACAGCTACAGCAAACTTGTAACACAGCTCAACTCCTAGCCAGATTAACATAAATCCTCATACTAGAGGCTTTTTTACCTCAGTTCCTATTATCCAACACAGCTGAATATTGTCTGACCTTCAACAAAAAAATCATAAGCATGCTAAAAGGCAAGGAAAAAAACAGTCTGATGAGACAAAGCAAGCATATAACCAGACTCAGATGTGACACAAATGTTGGAATTATCAGGCAGGAAATTTAAATACACTGATTAATATGTTAAGGAGTCTAATGGTAAAACTAAATAATATTTGAGAACAGATGGGTAATGTAAGCAGAGATAAGGAACCTCTAAGAAATAGTCAAAAAAGAAATGCTAAAAATCAAAAACACTGTAACAAAGAATGCCTTGGTGGGCTCGTCAGTAAACTGGATACAGCTGAGGAAAGAATCAATGAGCTTGGAGATAGGTTGATAGAAACTTGCCTACTGAAGTGCAAAGGGCAAAAAAAAAAACATCCAAGAGCTATGGGACAATTTCAAAAACTGTAAAATATATGTAATTGGGATATTCACCAGAAGGAGAAAAAAAGAGAATGAAGAAGAAATATTTGAAGTAATAATGGCCAAGAACTTTCCAAAATTAACGACAGTCACCAAACCACAGATCCAGGAAGCTCCGAAAACACCAAGCAGGATAAATACCAAAAATCTGCACCTAGATATATCTTATTCAAACTGCATAAGAAAATCTTGGAAGAAGCCAGAAGAAAAAAGTATCTTACCTATACAGAAACAAGTATAAGAATTACAGCTGGCTACTGGTCAGAAACCATGCAAAAAGAGAGTGGAGTGAAAAATTTAAAGTGGTGAAAGAAAATCCCCCACCAATCTAGAGTTCTGTATCTGGCAAAATTATTCTTCAGAAGTGGAGGAGAAATAAAAACGTTCTCAGATTAATAAGAGTCCTTCAGAAATGCATCTCATCCACGTTTTGCTCATGAAAAAAGTGAGGTCCAGAGCTGTTAAGTGGCTGAACCAGGAAGGGGTAAATCCCAAACTTTTCTTTTTCCATTTGCGAATCAGTTTTTTTTTTTAAGTTGATGTTAAAAATTGCGCAGTTTGAACCCTTCATTTCGAAACTGGAGAAGCTGAGAGAGAAAAACTGACTTATTTGAGGTTGAATAGCAAGTTGTTAGCCGACTTGGTATCCAAACTCAGCTCTACTGATTTAATTCTTACTGTAATTTTGTTGTCAGAATGATTGAGTTCGAGTCTATTTGAAAATATTTTCCCTGGTGGCGAAGGTGGAAGTCACAGAGCGTGAAAACCTAAACGTTCCAAGAGGAGAATGTTCCAAAAAGAAGGCGTATATACCCGCTCCCATAAGCAACGAGCTCCGCCAGTCAGGACTACAACTCCCAGGCTGCCCCGCGGCGTGCGCTGCCCACCGGGAGGCGTCTCCTGTGAGTCTGCGCGGGAAGTGGAGAGCCACGGCCGAGAGAAGCCGCGCTAGCTCCGCCGAACGGGGTGGCTGCGGCGGCGGCTGCTCTGGTCTTTGTTTGGTGGTTGGCCCGCGGTCCTGCCCGCCCCCGCTGCCGCCATGCCCATGAAGGGCCGCTTCCCTATCCGCCGCACCCTGCAGTACCTGGGCCAGGGGGACGTGGTGTTCAAGGACTCAGTGAAGGTCATGACGGTGAACTACAACACACACGGAGAGCTGGGCGAGGGTGCCAGGTCAGTCGGAGCTCTGCGAGGCCCCCCACGCCGGCCTCGCAGACCATGCCCTGTGTGGTAACGCGCTAGTGACGGTGAGACTGGAGCTGCGCTAGGCGCCCACTTAGTCGTGAGGCTGCCCCCCTGAGCTTGGTGCCACTGCCCCATTTTACAGATGAGACTGAGGAGCAGCTTGTTCCAGGTCCTACAGCGGGAAGAGGACAGCAGAGCCACGCCGTGCCGGCTGCAGTCGTGACTGAAGTGGGGGCGCGGAGGACAAGCCCCCCACCCCCTCCCGGGCGGGCCAGGCCGACCGGGGTGCCGCAGCCTCCTTAACCGCCTGCGCGGGCTGGCGAGCGGTGGGAGGGGCGGTGCGATCTGGTTAGAGCCCGGCCCAGGGGCGACAGACCTGGTTCGGGGCCCCCTTACACCTGCTGGTGTTGGGCGAGTTGCTCCTCCTCACTGTTCCAAACGGGCATGATACCTATGCCTCAGGGCCCATACGGGGATGCAGTGAGAGGAGTAGCAGGTGTTAGCCTTTACTGAGCCCTTCTTATGTGTCCAGCACGGTTCTGAACGCTTCTCGCGCGTGATCTCATTTGATCTTTGCAGAAACCCCGTTGTTATCCCCACTCTGGGAATGAGGGAACAGCACAGGGGTTAAGTAACTTGCTTCTCCAAGGTGCCACAGCCAGCTAGTGAGTGGTAGCTCTGAAAGTGCTTCTTTTGCGGGATTCCTCCCCATTATGATTAAGTGATTCTGTCAGCTGTAGCGGCAGGCTCCTCTCCACCACCTCCACTCCCCAACCTCCATAATGTTTTTCAGCCTGGGGCAGAGTTAAGAGACGCATTGAATGGAAGCTTGTAAGTGAAAGGTTTGAATTGAACCTTAAGGCAACAGCAGTGCTTTGGACTTGTCTGGTGTTAAGTATAAATTACTGAGTGCCTACTGCATGCTCGGCCACATGCTGTATGCTGGAAATTCAGCAGTGGCTAAGAAAAAAGTCCTGTCTTTCAGAAACTTCAGGGTTGGGTGTGTGGGATGGATCAAAACAGTCTAGGGAGAGCAACTCCCTGTGGAGGGTAGTCCTCCCTGGTGAGGGGCCTTGACTGCACAGCTGTTCAGGACAGCCAGAAGCTACCTCCTCACCATTTGCTCTCCACTGGTGAACCCAAGAACTTGGACCTGCTTGCATGGGGTCAGCTGGGATGAGGGCTTCCTGGAAGACTTGGTGTTAGGGGTGTAATGGGCACCCAGGTACTCCTTTGTAACCCGTTGTGCATCCATCCATCCACACCAGGAGTCACAGGGCAGAGGCCAGGCAGGTACCGGAAAGGAGGGAGGCAAGCTGGATGGACCTGTGGTGAACTGGAAAACGTGCCCTGTATCAAGGAGCCCTTCCTGCCCAGTTCCATCTTAGCTCCATGTGGGCTCTATGGAGCACTTCTGATTTCTCAAGAAGCCAGAAATTCAGATTTTTATGTAAATCTCTGTAAATCTTTTTAAATCATCAGCCAATCAGAATAGGCCTGTAGGCGCTGTACTTGCATGCTCAAGTGTTTCAACACCCTCTAGGTAAATAGGATTCCAAACAGCTATTCTGTGTTTCATTGTTTCTAGTGATAAGGCCTTGCCTGTCCCACCTATGCCCTTTGTGATTTCGTACCCTTGGGTTTGGGCCTGCCTGACTTGCTTTTTCTAGTCCCACAGGCCTTTGCTTGTTCATGTGCCCTCAGCATTTCACCTGCCCCCCTCCCCCCGCCCCCGGACCTTCCTCCAAGTGCCAGTGGCCAGTACTACAGCCCCGGGCTAGCCATAGTCTTGGGGTATCTGCTGAGTGTGTGAGGACCTGCCTTATCAGTATCTGAGGGCTAAGTCCCTGTTTACCTCTGCCAGGTGCTCTTGCCTTTAAGATGCAACGAGAGAGGTAACAGCTGCTAGCATTTATTGAATTCTTCCTATATGTCCAGCCCTGAGCCTCCGGATCTAGGTGAATTTGATAATTAGATAGTGACAGAACCCTATGGAAGAAGTCTAGACACTAATCACAGCCCCAGTTCTTTCACTTACTAGTTGTGTGACCTAGGGCAGTTTACTTAACTTTTCTGACCTCAGTTTCCTTAATTATAAAACCCTACCTTCCAGGGTCACTGTGAGGATTCGAGTGCCTAGCTAAGTGTCTTTCACATACAGCAGGTGCTCAACTAAAGTTTCCCTACTGTTATTAACTTTCCTCCCATGCTTCAGCAAGAACCATTTAAAAATCCCTTTTGAATTTTTGTCCTAGTAGTTTTAGGTGTGGGAAATTCCTACATGGATATGGCCTGGTTTATTTGTATGAAGGTCTGTGATGTTGGGATACTTTGCTGTGGGGTGGGAATTGAGCAGGTGTCCTAAGCCCAGGAAGGTAAATTCAGCCCTTGAGCTTCCAGCCCTGTGTGCTATTGTGGTCTGTGAGGCTTCTAGTAGTACCCTACCTCCACTTCCTCCCCCAGAGGCAACAACTTTCAACTCTAACTGTTTAATTAGTTTTACCTCCATATAGTTAAATACCATACTTAAAGAGCTACTTCTTACTTTTTTAGCTTTAGGTGTTACCTGTTGACTTGCCACTATGGAAAATGAGCATTTGGCTTTTTATCCTCCATGGCCATTCCCTACTCCCAACATGTGCATAGTACTCCACCCCCCACTCCCCCATTTTCCCAATACAGTCATTTCAGAATTTTGGATAGAACAATATTCAATGTTTAAATAAATATGACTTTGTAAACACTATACACAGTTGAGCCAAATAAAGTACTGTGATTATAATTATTTTTTTTAAATTTTTTTTGTGAGGAAGATCAGCCCTGAGCTAACATCCATTGCCAATCCTCGTCCTTTTTGCTGAGGAAGACCAGCTCTGAGCTAACATCTATTGCCAATCCTCCTCCTTTTTTTTTTTTGCCCAAAGCCCCAGTAGATAGTTGTATGTCATAGCTGCACATCCTTCTAGTTGCTGTATGTGGGACGCGGCCTCAGCATGGCCGGAGAAGCGGTGCATCGGTGCGCACCCGGGATCCGAACCCGGGCCGCCAGTAGCGGAGCGCGCACTTAACCGCTAAGCCATGGGGCCAGCACAGTACTGTGATTATTTTTCCTTTTTGTTTTTGCAAAGCTTTTCGTTTTGTCTGGAGTTAATAATTGTCATTGCTTTTCTTTTGTTTCAGCTGCAGATAGAGTTCAACTGCTTTTGTTTTGTTTCATCCTCAATTATGGAAGTCTCCCCAAGTAAATGGTCACATAGGCTTTCTGTTAATTTGTCAATTTCATCTTCTTGTAAATAGACTACAAGCTCCCATCTGGAGTGGTGGCCCTGCATCGTAATCATCTTGCCGTAAACATTGAGGCACAGAGTAGTAACGTCCCCTGGGTTGTTGGGGAAGTGTTTCAGACCCATGTACTACTTGCACCTTTCTGTCATCTGGTATATGCGACAGGGTGGCAGCAGGAAGCAGAGGGTGCCTTTAAATTTGGATCATTTGAGGAGCCTTTAATTAAGGAACTGTTTACAAAGGTGTGGGCAAGGATGAGGAAAAGAAACCACAAGGAACAGTGCAAGACCCCAGGTCTAGGCTTGCAGAAGTGAGGGAGAATGATTGTTGGAACCTGACAGGAGCCCACAGGGCTGGGATTCAGCCAGGGGCATAAATACCTTGACTGCCTCCTTACTTCTAGTCTTTTGCCTGTGCTTCCTATTGGCCCAGCCCAACACGAAGCCAGGGCTCAAGGAAGCTCTTAGTCCCTGTAGGTTAGCCATTCTAGATGGTGAGCAGGTGGAGAGGGATCCAGACATACAGTTGTGTAGTAATTTATTTAATCAGTCCTCTATGGAGGGGCATTTAAGTTGTTGCTGTCCTTTGCTGTAACAAATAATGCTGCAGTAAACCTTGCACATCTTTGCATTCAAACGTGAAAATATCTAAAAGCAGAAGTGAAATCACTGAGTCAAGATCTATGCTTTTAAAATTTCACTAGTTCCAAATTGACCTACAACGAGGTTAAATCAATTTATATTCTTAAGGAAATGTTTCCTTCTATAACTTTTTTTATCTTTAAATTGTTTATCTTTTCTGCCCTCATCAAACTGATAGTTTAGTGAGTAAACAGAAAATAATTAAAATAGGTAGTGTTTTAGATCATGAAAACCCTAAATTTAACTTGGAACAGAAGGAGGCAAGGCATTCAAAACATTTCTTCCAACGTCTTTGTAGGGTGTGCCAGATGGTTCTTGCTGGAGACATGAAGTAGGTACTGTTATGTTACAGATGGGAAATTAGACTCAGATGGTGTAACTGTTAGAGGACACTCAGCTAGTCAGCGAGTTAGTAGTGATGCAGCATTTAACACCAGGTATTTGACAGCAAAGCCTAAGCTTTACCATATTTGTGTTAGACCAACCTCAGTATTTTTTCATTTAGGGTAAATTTGAACTGTCTCAGGAAACAGATCCGTACAGGCCAAGGAGGAACAACAGAATTGTTGTTAAGAATTGTGAGGGCACTTTGCTTATGTGTGTAGGATGTGAAATACTGTCTTTTGTGATGGTTGGAGAATCATTGTTGAAGATATGGAAGGTAGATGTGTATCAACATGACCTGTCCAATTCAAAGATGTGGTTTCTTCCCAGATGGCAGATCTTTAATATTACAAAAATCTAAATTCTTCCCCTTCCTGGGATCGCAACTAAAATGATGTATCTTCTTGAGGCTGTTTCTGACATCTGCCTTCAGACAAAAATCAGTAATTTCTTTATCCTGTGTACTAAAAGTAATTGCAATTTTTGAAAAATACATAGTTTAATATTTTCTAATGTAATCATTGACTTACATATCCAGTATAGTAAATTGAGCACTCCATTTGAATAATGATAATGTCTAATTTGTCTTTTCATATATATACAGTTTAGCATAGTAACTTGAATATGATAAATGCTCAATACAAATTTGTAGGATGAGTCAATGTAGTAACAAATTTTATGGTCAAGAAAATAAGTTATAAAAAAGAAAATATCAAATATGATTATGAAATCCTGATAAGGACCAGAAAGTTGTGAGGATAAATGTTGGGCTTTAATTTCTTGTTTTCATGTGAAGTTAAGATTTGATAAAGTTTTAAATACAAAGTGAGCATCAGGATTTGGCTTTCTCGTACATAGTTTTGTGTAGAATACATGGATTCTGCTCTAGGGCCAGATGACTCTTGTGAAGATTTTTTTTTTTTTTTAAAGATTTTATTTATTTATTTTTTTCCCTCCAAAGCCCCAGTAGATTGTTGTACGTCATAGTTGCACATCCTTCTAGTTGCTGTATGTGGGACGCGGCCTCAGCATGGCCGGAGAAGCAGTGCGTCGGTGCGCGCCCGGGATCCGAACCCAGGCCGCCAGCAGTGGAGCGCGCGCACTTAACCGCTAAGCCACGGGGCCGACTCTTGTGAAGATTTTTAAAAAGATATATTTTACTTGAGTTTTATTGATTTCATGACAAGGAATTTAGGCTTAAAAGGAGGAGGAGAAAAAGGGTCTGATATATCTGTCATATTGGTAGAATGCAGGAATCTTGTCTGTCAAGGGATCAAGAAAATCAGTAGAAGGAAGTCTCAGCAGTTCCTGGTAGAAAGTATTGTAAAGTGTATCAGGAATCATGGTCATGACTTTGGATGGCACAACATATGGGTCAGAGACACCATGAACTTGAGATTCAAATCTAAGTAGAAAAACACAATCATATAGGACACTAAGTCCTGAGATCTAAAATATGGGCGTGTAATGTACATTGTTCAAAAGCAACATGTCTGACAAAAAATGTGCCAGTTATTGATATCCGTGTACACCTAAGAATATAAGCATGGCAGAGTACACGTGAATGAAGAAGAGAGAAATGAAGAGTCAAGTGAAGAAATGAGGAGCTTGGAAAAGATATAGACACAAGGAGAGGGCAAGAGGGGGAGAAAGATTGCAAGAGACAGAGGGGAAAGGAGGGAGGGAGGAACAGATGGGCAGGAGGAGAGGGGGAGGGGAGAGATAGACTAAAGCTATTCCAATCAGATGGGAAAGAATAGATGACACGAACAGATTATGTGTCTCCAATAACAGATTGTGATATGGAAGGCTTTATTTTAGAAGATATGTTTGGATGAGTTCCTCTATTAAAGTAAAAATTATAATTATCCTCAAGTAAGTATTTGGAGTGGATGTTTGAAAAAGAGATTGGAATTTTTATTATCTTAGAGGATAAAACTTGGATAGGTAGACGGAAGGTATAAGAAGAGATTTTTTTCTCAATTGACTACAGTCATTTACAGTTTTGAGCTCTTCAGAAACAGCTGTAATGTCTCATGAGATAGTATTTTCCTATCTCTAGAAGTTTCAAGAAGAAATTATCTGACTCCTTTTCCTTTCTTTGAGGAAGAAATGCATACATTTATCAGGAGGTTGTTTTAAATGTCTCCAGGATCACCTACAGCCCATGAATTTATGAAACACCTGACTAAATCAAATACATTTCACATGGTTTTCTCAGATCTCTTTGATTATCTTGTATCTTATCTGTCATGTCTTCCCCCCTGAACAAGGTCCCTTCTGCATGTCAGCGCTTTCTTCTCCATCTGTACTCCTCATTTATCCTTTTCTTCCCCGCTGTTGCTCCTCAGCCTATCCCTATCAACTCCTACTTCACCTAAAAATATACTGGCTTCCGTTGCCTTTTAAAACATTCTATGAGATTGGTCGCTACCTCAGACTAGCATGTCATTTCTCTGCTACTTCACCAACTACCTTCACTTCTCTCAGATCCACACTGCTCGCTCACTCCAACTCTTTGCAATTTGGTTTCTATCTCAGAAGTTCAGTGAAATCTATTTTCATAAGTCACAAATGACCTATTTCAGTTTTATCATCTCTTATTGATTAAGATGTGACAGAGAAGAAGATTCAGTATAACATTGGAAAGAGATTTTTTAAATTTAGATAAATTCAAACATAGAATTGGTTGCATTATGAGGCAGTGATTTTTCCAGTCACTGGTGTTTCTGGTAATGTACATAGCTCCCTTCCCTAATTTATCTGCTTCTGGTAAGAGTTCTCCCTACTGTGCATTCTGGATGATGCATCAGATGAAGTGTACCGAAGGGAAGTAGCATGAACTCTTTGTTGCTAACTCAAACATAATATAATGTATTGGAAACATCTTGAGGGCTCATGGAATTCTGGGAGTCCTGATAAGGGTTAGGAGCCAAGGTGATTGGGGAGTATGGAGTACAGCACTTCCAGTAAGAACAGTTGTGTCAGACCCTGCTCCTCAGATTAATATCTTTCCTTTGGTTTTAGCAACACTATTTCAAGATCCAGTGTTCTGCCAGAAATGGAGCTAGCACACAGCCTCCTTCCCTTTCCCAGTTTTATTTTTTTTTTTTTTGCTCATCTTGGGAGGATGCGTGGGAACCAGCTCTTTATTTTGAAAACTAATAAGTAAACAGACAGACTCAAGGATTTATCTTATGTTTCCCATGAATATACCACTGGGTAGCCAAATAACTGATGAGGGGAAGTTTCTCTTTGTAGAAGCATTTCAACAATAAATGAAGAAGGGATGGTAGAATTGAAATATCATTTTGCAACCCCTGATGAGTTGAGCCTCAATGGCTGCTAGCAACATAAAAAGAGCCACTGGATGCTATGTGCTTCTTGATGAAGAAGACAACAGCACCTACAAAGGAGTCTTCCTCCCCAAAATCAAATCTGAATCTGATAAAGCCTCTAGTTCAACTATCAATTTGCAGGAAGTACAGAGGGCGGGGGATAATGATAAATAAACTACGTTATAAGGTCGCAGTCAGCAAAATCCTGACTCTGGGAAACTCAATAGGACAGGTGGTCCAGTTTCTTCAACAAGTAAATTGCAAGGGGTAAAAAGAGCTGATGGGGAAACCTACAGATTTAGAGACCTAAAAGATGTTCTACAAAAAACCCCAACCAAACTGTAGTGTTCAGGGATGCATAGTTAGAGAATAAAACTGCAAATAAAAGAAGGTAACAATGCATATAAAAGTCAGGACAGTACAGCATGGGGACTACAGTTAGTAATACTTTGTTGTAGATTTGAAAGTTACTAAGAGAGTAGATCTTGAAAGTTCTTCACGGGGGGCCGGCCCGGTGGCATGGCGGTTAAGTGCGCACGCTCTGCTGCTGGCAGCCCGGGTTCAGATCCCGGGCGCTCACTGATGCACCGCTTGTCAGGCCATGCTGTGGCGGCGTCCCATATAAAGTCAAGGAAGATGGGCACGGATGTTAGCCCAGGGCCAGTCTTCCTCAGCAAGAAAGATGAGGATTGGCATCGGATGTTAGCTCAGGGCTAGTCCTCCTCACAAAAAAAAAAAAAAAGTTCTCCACACAAGAAAAGACTTGTAACTATGTGAGGTGATGGATGTTAATGAGACTTATTGTGGTGATCATTTTGCAATATATACAAATATTGAATCGTCATACTGTACACTTGAAACTAATATGTTATATGTCAATTATATCTCAAAAAAAAGTTAAAAAGAAGTCAGGACAGTGGTTATTCTTTGTGGTGGGGGGAGGATTTGTATTTGAGATGGGCATAGGAACGGCTTCTGGAGTGACTGATGGTACTGTCTTTTTTCATGGGGGGGTGAACTTTTTATAAATAACTTTAAAAAAAATCTTTAGCAATCTAAGAAGTGAAAAAGAATCATTTTAATTTATACGACTTTGTTGGGAAGTTATTGAGAATCTCTCCCTGTGATGATAGGCCATTTGGATTTCTGCCTGTTGGTGGCCTTTGCTTTTTGTTGTTGAATGTACATCTTATTGATGTGTAAAACTATATGGGGAATTAGCCTTTTGTTTTATGTTTTGCGAACATCTTCCTTTTGGTTTGGCAAATGTTGATTTTGTTTTGGGTAAATTTTGCCATGCAAGTGTTTTAATGTAGTCATATTTATCTATTTTTTTTTTGTTTTTTTGTTTTTTTGGTGAGGAAGATTAGCCCTGAGCTAACATCTATTGCCAATCCTCCTTTTTTTGCTGAGGAAGATTGGCCCTGGGCTAACATTCGTGCCCATCTTCCTCTACTTTATATGTGGGATGCCTGCCACAGCATGGCTTGATAAGCAGTGTGTAGGTCTGCGCCCAGGATCCAAACCTGCGAACCCTGGGCCACCAAAATGGAGTGCATGAACTTAACCACTATGCCACCAGACGGGCCCTATATTTATCTGTATTTTAAACCTTCTAAGTTTAAACGTTTTCCCACTCCTAGATTGTAAAAATATTTCCCATGTTTGTTTTCATGATTTCATTTATTTTTAAATTGTGGTATAATCTACATAAAGTGTATACCTGTAAGTATACAGCTCAATGAACTTCTACAAATGAATACACCCATGTAACCACCACACAAATCAAGATCTCGGACGTTTCATAGTTTCATTTTTACATTTATGCTTCTGCTGTGGTGAGTTCTAGGTTAGTGTGCAATGTGAGGTAGGGATACAGATTTCTTTTCCCTCAAATGACAAACCAGGAGCCCAAAGATGCTCTGTTGGGAGAAGACACTAACAGATTCCTGAGAGCTGCTTTTCTCAGCCTTTTTGGGAGCAGGGTCCCCTGAGAATCTGATGAAAGTTCTGGACTTTCTCCATAGAAAAATACACAGGTGCACAAAATTTTAGGTTAAAAACTCTAGTTCACAGGTTTAATTTCTTCCCTTTTGCAGGAAATTTGTGTTTTTCAACATACCCCAGATTCAGTACAAAAACCCTTGGCTGCAGATCATGATGTTCAGGAACATGACACCCTCACCCTTTCTGCGATTCTATCTAGGTGAGTGCGGGGCCTCTCTGCTGTGGGCCGGGACTGGCTTGCCCCCATCCGTTCCTCCTCCCACAGCCATCAGGGTGATCTCAGATTCAAGCTCTTGGAAACTGCCATCACTCCCATGACTGTGGCGCCTAGTGGCCGCTGAGATCTGGGCTCCTTTTCCCCCGGCCTCGTCTCCTGTTGCCCCCACGTCTCCTGCGTGCCTCACACTGCATGGGCTAGTTGTTCCAGATTCCCTTGCCACACCGTGCTTTGATGCCCTTGCTCATGCTGCTTCCTCTGCTGGAAATCCCCTTTCCACTTTTCTTGTTTAATTTTTTTTAAATCCTTCAAGACTCAGCTTGGGCACCACTCTCCCAGGAAGCCTTCCCTGCTCCCTTAGAGTGCCCCCCCGCCGTCTCCCGAAGCCCCTCTCTCTTAGCGCTGGCCACGTTCTCTTGAACAGTGTATGTGTCTGTGTGTCCTCTCTGGACTGTGTTCACTGACATGATCACAATGCTTTCCTGTTCCCTCGAGGTGCTGAAGTGCATGTTTATTCAGTTAAATGGGCTCAGTGCTCGGAAGTCGGAAGACTAGATGTTTTGGCTAATGACTAATGACTGACTCTACTCAGTCATTCTGACCCTGAGCAAGTAATGTTCCCATTGCTGTCTTTCTCAAGTGAAGGCAAAATATCTGCCTTACGTGGTTATGAGAATCAAATGAAGTGTAGATAGGGGAATGCTTCAGGAAACAAAATGACGCTGTTCTTTCATTCAATCAGCAGATCTGTACGGAGTGTCTGCTAGGAGCTGGCGCTGTTCTAGGTGCTGGGGGTGTCAGGGAGCCATACCCACAAAGATCTCTGCCCTTGTAGAGAGGAGACAGAATGAACAAGAAATTTAATAGGATAGTACCTTAGAAGATAAGTACAATGAAAAAAAGGGAAAAGAGAGCAAGGTGTTAGGGGGTGAAGAGGATGGTGGTGTGTGGCAATTTTGTGTATCTATTTTATGTTTGCATTTAAAAAAATTAACTTTATTGAGGTATAATTTACCCATAATAAATGCAAAGGTCTAATGTGCATTGATTGAGTTCTGACAACTGTTACATACTTGTCCTTTCCCAGTAAAGATATAGGACATTTCTAGTACTCCAGAAAGTTCCCTAGAGCTGCTTTCCAGCTAATTCCTGCTTCCACCAGAGGCAACCACTGTTAGGATTTATTTCACCATAGGTTAGTTTTGTTTGTTTCAGAACTTCATGTAAATAGAATCTCACAGTATATATTCTTTTGTATCTGGCTTTTACTCATCATGTTTTTGAGACTCATCCATGTTATGCGTATCAGTAGTTTATGCACTTTTATTGCTGAGTAGTATTCCATTACAGGAATATTCCACAGTGTATTAATCCATCCACCTGTTGATGAACATTTGGGTTTTTGTTAGGTGCCAAGACAGCGTTAGAAGTATGAGATTTCTTGGAGGTAAAGGGGAGAGGGAGGAGGGATAGGCAGGGAGTCTTTAGATGACAAAGCAGATCTGACATCTCTGAAAGGAGAGGAGAGGGAGAGGGAAGGAGGCATGGACAGGTGGTGCCTCAGATGGTGATGCAGCTCCAAGAGAGTCTGGGCAGCCCAGCGGAAAGTGCTGTGCTGTGTTGGGCAGAAATGGCCATGTCTTGACCTAGGCCAGGGAGAGCCTGAGCTTGGCTCTGGTGCTGCGGTGGATCCCAAAGACACGACAGCTGTTGGCTGGCTGCTCCCCTCCTCACAGCAGGGCCTTGCTGGAGGGGAGCTTTGAGTGGTGGGCCTCCGTGGCTGCTGAGGGTTGTTTCTAGTTTTGGATACTAAGATAAGGTGCACATCAGTACCTTCTTGCACAAATCTTCTTTGTGGACACAGGCACTCAGTTCTCCTGGGCGTAGGCCGCAGGATGGGATTGCTGGGTCATAGAATAGGTATGTCATGTTCTTAAAAACTGCCAAACAGGTTTCCAAAATGCTTGTGCCGTTTCACCCTCCAGTCAGTGTTGGGGGGAGAGTCCTGATGGCTCTACGTCCTCACCCAAACTGGTGTTGTTATCTGTATTAGTTTCCTGTGGCTACCGTAACAAATCACCACAAACTTGGTGGCTTAAAGCAACACAAATTTCTTATTTTACAGTTCTGTATGTTAGAAGTCCAACATGGCTAAAATCAAGGTGTCAGCAGAGCCTTCCTTTCTGGAGGCTCAGTGGGTGAATCCATTTCCGTGCCTTTTCCAGCTCCTAGAGGCTGCTCCTGTTGTCTTGTGGCCCCTTCCTCCACCTTCAGACAGCACCATTGCATATCTGGCCATTTGTCCGCAGTCACATGTCCCTCTGACCACAGCCCTGATAGGTTCTCTGATTTTAAGGACTGTGTGATTAAATTGGGCCCACTAGATTATCCAGGAGAATCCTTGGCTCCTTGTCTCCAGGTCCTTTAATCACATCTGCAGAGCCCCTTTTGCCATATAAGGTGACATAGTCACAGGTGCTGAGGGATTAGGACGGGGACATCTATTCTGCTCACCACATTAAGTCTTGTAAATTTTAGCCCTTCCAATGGGTGTATATCTTATTGTAGTTTTAATTTGCATTTCCCCGTGAGTGTCTTTTCATGTGCTTATTGGCCATGCATATATTTTTTTTGTGAAGAGTCTAGTTGAATCTTTTGTCCGTTAAAAAAAAAAATGAGTTTTCTTACTGAGTTCTGTATATATTCTGGATTCAATTCCATTGTCAGATATATGTATTGTGAGTATTTTCTCTCAATCTGTGGCTTGCTTTTCATTTTCTTAATGGTGTCTTTTGAAGAGCAGAGGTTTTAATTTTGATGAACTCCAGCTTATCAGTTGTTTTCTTTTGTTTAATGCTTTTTGTGTCCTGTCCAAGAAATCTCTGTCTACCTCAAGGTTGCAAAGATTTTCTCCTATGTTTCCTTTAGAAGTTTTATAGTTTTAGAGTTTACATTCAGGTCTATGATCTAGTTTGAATTATTTATGTATTAAGTGAGGATAGGGATCGAGTTTCGTTTTTTTGTTTTTTTAGATTTGGGATATTCAGTTGTTACCACACCATTTGTTGAAAGACTATTCTTTCCCTTATTAAATTTCCATGGCATCTTTGTCAAAAATCAATTGGCCATGAATGGATAAACAAAATTCAGTGTATCCAATCAGTGGACTATTAGCCATGAAAAGATATGCAGTATTTACACATGCTACAACATGGATGAACCTTGAAAACATTGTGTTAGTGATAGAAGGCAGATTCAAAAGGCCACATATTGTATAATTCCATTTATATGCAATGTCCAGAACAGGCAAGTCCCTTTAGAGACAGAAAGTGGTTGTCAGAGGCTGGGGATGGGGTAGTGTGGGGAATAGAAAGTGACTGCTTAATGAGTACGGGGTTTCTCTTTGGGGTGATGACAAAATTCTGGAACTACATAGTGGTGACAGTTGCATAACATTGTGAGTGTACTAAACCCCACCAAATTGTACACCTTAAAATAGTTAAAATGGGGGCCAGCCCAGTGGCATAATGGTTAAGTTTGGTGTATTCCGTCTCAGTGGCCCAGGTTCAGTTCCTGGGTGCAAACCTACACCACTCATCAGCCATGCTGTGGCAGCAGCCCACATACAAAATAGAGGAAGACTGGCCACAAATGTTAGCTCAGGGTGAATCTACCTCAGTCCAAAAAATAAATAAAAAGTTAAAATGGTAAATTTTATGTTATGTGTATTTTACCACAGACAAAAAAAATCACTTGACCATATATTTCTGAACTCTTTACCTCTTTGACTGATCTCTATATGTGTCCTTATGCTAATACCACACTGTCTTGGTTTTTGTAGCTTAAGTCTTAAGATCAAGTAGTGTAAATCCAACTTTGTTCCTTTTTTTTTTTTTCCCCCAAAATTACTTTGGCTATTGTAGGTTCTCTGCATTTCCATATTAACTTTAAAATCTGCTTGCCAGTTTCTAGAAAAAAGCATGCTGGGATTTTGATTGGAATTATATGATAGATCATTTTGAGGAGAATGGGCATTTTAACAATATTGAGTATGTTTTGTGACTGTTGTAAATGGTATTTTAAAAAATTTCATTTTCCAGTTGTTTGGACAACTTTATAGAAGTACAGCTGATTTTTGCATATAGGCCTTGTATCTTGCAACCTTGCTAAATTCACTTACACAGTCATTCCATCTGCAAATAAAAACAGTTCTATTTCTTCCTTTCCAATCTTGTTATTTCTTTCCTTTTCATAAAGTGTCTTAATTCACTGGCTAAAGTGGCTGTAAATTTATTTATTTATTTAGTGTGTTTGTGTGTATGTGAGGAAGATCAGCCCTGGGCTAACATCCATGCCCATCCTCCTCCACTTTATATGGGATGCCGCCACAGCATGGCCTGACAAGCAGTGTGTCGGTGTGCACCCGGGATCCGAACCCAGGCCGCCAGCAGCTGAGCGCGTGCACTTAACCGCTACACCACGGGGCCGGCCCCTAAAGCGGCTGTAATATTTTGCGTTTTATCAGTAATATAGGAAAGTTCCAGTTACTCTGCATCCTCACTAGCACTTGGTATTGTCCATTTAAGAAAATTTTAGCCACTCTAATATCTCATTGTGGTTTTAATTTGCATTTTCTTAATGACTAGTGATGTTAAATATCTTTTCATGTGCTTATTATTAGCCTTTCTTTGGTTGTTAAATGTTTATTCAAATATTTTGTGCATTTTTTCATTGCATTGTTTGTCTTATTGAATTGTGAGAGCTCTTTATATAGTCAGGGTACAAGTCCTTTATCAGATATATGCATTATGAATATTTTCTTCCAGTCTATGACATTTGGTGTCTTTTGAAGCACAAAAGTCTTGAATTTTGATGAATTTGAATTTATCAAATTTTTCTTTTATGGATCATGTTTTTGATGTCATATCTTAAAATCTTTGCCTAGGTCAGGATATGAAGATTTTCTGTGTTCTCTTCTAAAAGTTTTATAAAAGTTTTAGCTCTTAGATTTAGGTCTCTGATCCATTGTGAGCTTTATTTTTCCCCTTCCTTTTTTTTTTAATGTTGTGAGGTAAAGGTCTAAATTTTTTTTTTTTTTTTCTTTTTTGTGAGGAGGATCAGTCCTGAGCTAACATCTGTGCTAATCCTTGTCTTTTTGCTGAGGAAGACCGGCTCTGAGCTAACATCTATTGCCAGTCCTCCTCCTTTTTTTCCCCAAAGCCCCAGTAGATAGTTGTATGTCATAGTTGTGCATCCTTCTAGTTGCTGTATGTGGGACGTGGCCTCAGCACGGCGGGAGAAGCGGTGCGTTGGTGTGCGCCCGGGATCCGAACCCGGGCCGCCAGTAGTGGAGCGTGTGCACTTAACCGCTAAGCCACGGGGCTGGCGTGGTAAAGGTCTAAATTTATTTATTTGTACATGGATATCCAGTTGTCCCAGCACTATTTTTTGCAGAAACTATTTTTCCTCATTGAATCATCTTGGCATCTTTGCTGAAAATCAATTGACCATAAATATGAGTTTATTTCTGGACTCCCTTCTGTTCCATTACTCTGTAGTCGGTTCTTATGCTGGTACCACACTGTCTTGATTACTTAGAGTAATTAGCTATATATAAGCTTGATTAGCTTATAGTAAATTGCAAATTAGAAAGTGAACATCCTCCCGTTTTCTTGTTTTTCAAAATTGTTTTGGCTGTTTTGGGTCCTCTGCATGAGTTTTAGGCTCAACTTGTGCGTTTCTACAAAAACACCTGCTAGCATTTTGATAGAGATTGCATTAATCTATAGACCAGTTTGGCGAGAACTGCCATTTTAACGATATTGAATCTTTCTATCCGTGAACATGGAATTTTTTTCCATTAAAATAGTATGCTTTTGTACACACTTAAAATTTATTTCTGCTCATGTCTAAAGAAATATGAAAAAAAGGAAGGGTAGCATTATGCGTTATGTAAACAAGCGTATTTATTTAATCGTTAAAATGTTTCTCTACTGAAATCAAATCCCAAATCACCACCATTTGAGGCTGAGGAGCACGCTGCCGAGTTCTCAGGTTTTCTTCTCCCCTTTGCTTCTTGTTTCCAGATTCTGGGGAGCAGGTCCTCGTGGATGTGGAGACCAAGAGCAATAAGGAGATCATGGAGCACATCAAAAAAATCTTGGGGAAGAATGAGTGAGTTGCTGGGTTGACTTGGAGGGGAGCAAACGTCTTCGCCCAGAGAATTTGAGAGAAGAAAGGGTTGCGCTGGGAGGGGTGTCGAGCCACAGACACCATCCAGAGAGCGTGGGCTATAGAGTCCATTTCGTCTGGCTTTGCTGCCACCAGATATGTGACCGTAAGTCACTGAGCCTCTGTGAGCTGTGCTTCCCTTGCTGTGAAGTGGGGATAAAGATCCTGTCTGTCTCCTGGGGTCGATGGGAAGCTGAGATGCTGCTGAAATGCAGCCCTGGGTGGCTGTGACCACTTCTCTCCTTGGGAATTTTAGCTTGGAGCTGCTGGGTGTCTAACCCCGGGACCTGCTGACATGTCCTTTTTCCTTCCATGGATGAAAGGAGGAAAGGGAGGGAAGCCAAGAAAGTCTGTCTTGAGAAAGCACACTGATGCATTTTCAGGCCCCTTTGTGCTGATTGTCTGCCCCTTGGCTGTCGTAAGGCTGCCCACCCTGTTTGGGCCTGTAGCAACTGTGCTTCTCAAGTGACCTTCTCCCCCAGAGCCTGATGCTGCTCACATTGCAGAAGGCCTTCCTGCTGTCCCTCTGGGAGGCCTGTGGGGAGGGAGGGATAGGCTCTGGGAGTGAGGAGCAGGTTAGGAGGCATAGGAGATCCAGGTCTCCTGGCTGATGGTGGGGTTCAGTAGGCTGAGAAGTCCTGCGTTTGCTGGGGGCTCAGAGCAATGTTGCCTACGCCTTGTTGCTGTCTGTGCTTTTTGGCAGAGAAACCCTCAAGAAAGAGGAGCAGGAGAAAAAACAGCTTTCTCACCCAGCCCACTTTGGCCCCCGGAAGTACTGCCTGCGGGAGTGCATTTGTGAGGTGGAAGGGCAGGTGCCCTGCCCGGGCCTGGTGCCCTTACCCAAGGAGATGACGGGAAAGTACAAAGCAGCTCTCAACACCGGTGCCCAGGACTGAGGCCTCAGGCCACTATAGGCTGGGGCTACCTTGGCCACAGGGAAGCCCTGGTCTTGTCCCTAGAGAGACTCTGAAAATCTCTTTGCAATAAAAAGGTCCCCTTCACACACCTGTGTGAAAGCATGTGGGGGGAGGGGAAGGAGTATCTGCAGTTGAGCTGCTGAATGAATATCCTTCCTCCAGCAGGTCAATAAAATGCTTCTCAGTCTCCAGCAGTGTGGTGTGTATGCGGTCTGATAGGCACAAGGAGGAAGGCCTGCATGAGGAGAGGGCTTTGGGAGGGGGAAGGAGTAAGGCCACAGCCTGTTGACATCTCTGTCTTGGTCCTGCGGCCCTTTCCTGGTCTCCATTGGCTTCGACTCTTCTTCCAGACCCTGCTCTGGAGAATTAGGAGCTGCCATGGTTGGGTCAGGCTGGGGCCGTCTGTATGGACGTCCCCTCCATTCAGGTTCTTTGGGTGTTTTTCAGAAATCCCAGGGCAAGTTTTGTGCAGTGCTCACTTTTTAAATTAAAGCCCACTGACCCTTTCCTCCTGAGGGGCCTGGTCGTGGGTGTGCCAGAGATGCAGGAGGCCCCAGTGGCTGGCAGACAGACCAGCCTCCATCAGGAATGTGCCCACTGGTGAGTCAGCCACTGCCGGCCCTGCGGCCCCAGCCCCGTGCCCATTAGCAGGTAGGTTTACAGACCATGAAGGAGGAAAGGAGGTGCTGCCTGGTTGAAACTTGGGGCCCTGCCCTGAGGGCTGGTGCTGGAGGCTGCCTCTCAGTTTGCCCTTGCCCATTCAGTCCTCACTCACTAAGGCTTTGAATGGGCGTGTGGGATTACTGAAGGTCTGCGTAGTACTTCTTTCCTCACAGGGCACTGATATTGCTGTCACTTTTGCTGTCACTTTAGTTATGCTAGTTTCAGCCCTCAGGAGACACCAGAGCCCTCCAGGGTCACCATAAGAATGGGTTTACTTGGTCAAAAGTGAAGGACCAGCTGGACCACAGACCCATGGGAACACAGACAAGGAGACTTTGTCTTATGGCATGCAGCAAGACAGTGTGGCTTAGAAGAGCAGGGTCAAAGTCTGAGTCCCTCTGCTGAGTAGAGCCTTGGCCAAGCAAGGCCTAAAGCTCTCTGTGCAATGGGAATAAAGGCAGTTGCTGCCCCATAAGGTAGTTAGCCATGGGAAATGATGTGACACTGGAATGTTTTATATAAATGTTGGAGATTAATCCATTAAATTGGGAGAATTTTGATGCTCAAGTTATGGTTTACTGTGATTTCGCACTAGACCTGTATTCAGGGTGATGGCTTATGGGGGTTGGGAGGGGAAGGTGGGCATGTAGGTCTAATGTGTAATGGGCAGGTGCTCCTTGAATGATCGCAGGCTTGCTAGGGTTGTGTCTGATTGAAATTCAACACCTTGGCGCCCTCTCCCCCATCACCATTTTGGAGGGTGGGAAGAGAAATCTATCCTCCATTCTAATCCTTCCTGTGGGTTCTGATTTCAGTTCCTACAGTGTTTCTAATAACCTCACCCAGCTGATTGCAGCCATGGCCTTCACACCAGCTGCCAGGACTTTTCAGAAAGAGTTTGTTCCTTTTGGTCTTTTTTTTTCACAACTAGTGAGACAGAAAGCCTTATGGAAGCATTCCTTCCCTCCATGGCCCACAGGGGGCCCAAAAAGTTTGCTAAACAGGAGGACCCCCCCCCCTGAACCAAGGTAATAATGACCCCTCTTTAGAGAGAGAATAAATGTCCAGTGCCTGATGGGACAGCGCCGCTGTCACTGCATAGACAATTTCTTAGGCAGCAGATAACGATTCCTGGAAATAAACACCACTGGGGGGCATTATTCTCTTCAAACCTTTTTCTTCCATTTCCTACTTTAATAGTGATAGAAGGTGGGTTTAAAATTTACAGAAATGGGAGAAAATTAGTAGAGAAGATTGCTATGAAGATTTTGTAATTGACACACTGTTTCTTAATTTTATTTGCACAAGCAGTGTTCACCAGATGGTTTTTAACTTTGTTCCTCTGAAGTGCCCAATTTTCTTTTCATTTTGAGCACTACCTGGCAGAGCCATTTAAAGCTCTTTGGCTGCCAGTGGGTTCTGCCAAGAATCTGACTTTAGACCTCAGAATCCTCACCTGTAAAATGAGAAGTCAGATGACATAATGAGCAAGTTCTTTCCAACTTTTGAAACTTGAACACATTTTTACCCTGGATAGCAAATAGCATCACAGGCTGAGCCTGCTGGTTTGAGACCTGGCTCTCCGAGTGAGGATGGCAGTCAGTGTGGTCTGGCAGCCCAGGCCGTGCTCTGCTCCAGAAACGTCCATGTGGCTTTTTGACCTACACAACAAGGAGTGGCCCCACTGGAAAAGGCCACGCCTTTCCCACTAAAGGTATTTACAAGTCCAGGAGACCATCAAATGGACCATAAAGGGCTAAGTCATTTCTGGCCGAGGCTGGGGTGAGGTGAGAGCTGTAGGGTTCTGACTACCAGGCTGCTTCCTCGCCGCCTGCTCGGGGTTCCAGTGAGAGCATTCTGAGTGCCTCTGGGGTCAGGTGTTACTACTATCATGAGAAGAAATGATGAGCAGGATGCACATTAGTCTTTAATTCACTTTTAATAGTATAAACCTCATTTAGGTAGTAGTATTAAGCCACAACAATAATGCCACATTGAAATAGCATTTAATAAAATGCATAAAGCTAATTCATGCACTGCAATACTCTATATACAAACACAACAATGCAAATTCTTCAAGACTGAAGACATTGATGATTAGATATAAAATTCAGTTTAAAAAGAACATGCTATTTTTAAATGCCATCGCATAAACAAAGCTGATTTCAAGCTACAGCTTTCAACAGGTTTTAAACCTGGAATTAAAATGTAATGGCATAAATAATATTTTCTATATTGTGAAGGGCAGAGGTTACAGAAACGGTCCCAAGAAGATCTAACACCTGAATTGTCCTTTAACATGTCTTTTCAAAGGGCTGGTAATGCAGCTACATTCCAACACAGAGGCCTGACTACAGGTAAGAACTGTGGTTTGTCCTATGAAAAATGTGCAGCTTTTCATTTATAAAACTAGCTGAACACTGGTTTACAAGATAATTGGGAGAATGGAGACTGTAGAAAAATATCCCAGCACTTGAGTTGCATGTGGCAGCAGCATTCAGGTCCATGAATGCTCTGGTCATTGAAATAACTGAGTATACTTTCCTAAGGAAGAGCTATTTTTAATGTAAAGCCTACTACTTTCGAAAGTTATCCAAATATTAAGCTTTATCACAGTCAATTGCTAAATATTGCTGAACATTTTTTCAGCATTTTTTATAGCATTTTTTTCTGTGTTGTTTGTATAAATACTGAGACACCAAAATTATTTGCTTCTCAACTGAAAGTATAGGTGGGCATTAAAAATATCCCATCTCCCCCAAGATACTTTTTTTTAAGCTCACAGTTTTATTATTCTTAGATTGCTGTTAAGTAGCCCCAAAGAAGAATTTTTATTGTAAAGATTCATTTAGAGACTGTCAAGCTTCCACTTGTGTTTTAACTGGGAAGTCATCTTTAATAGTGTGATTGTCATGACAGGCAAGGACGTGGGAAAGGTTGAACAATCACTGTTGGATGAAGCCAGAGAAGTAGCAGGAGTTTTCTTTACATCAAAAATAGGGGAAGCTGACGGCTAAATAACCCACTGTCTCACAGAAGGCACTGAGTACTATGGTCTCAATGAAGTGTTCTCAAACATTTCAATAGCTTATTAAAAAAGAAAAAAAATCGTGGATTATGTGAGTTTTTGCAGTTATCCAGTGATTTCTTTCAGCAAGCCAGCTCTCAATCTTCCTGCCTGGCAGGCCCCTGCTTACCAGGTCTGCGAGCAACTACTGCTGGGCTGGGCCCTGGCTCCCAAGTGCCATGTCTGTTTAAAGCCTGATTAAGGGGCGGAATTCATCAGAATAGACCTGGACAAGGAAAATTTGGCATCTGTAGCTTTAAGGGCACACATACCCATATTAAAATGCAATTTTTATCTGAAATTTTTAAATCATTATTTACAGAAAGGATTTTAAGTCAGTGGATTTTATTCACATGCTGCAGTTTGAGAAGTAATTTAAGGTTTGTAACTTTTATATGAAATAAAAGTTAGCCATCAACATTCATGCTTATTTTTCAAGCATTAGAGAGATGGGAATCGCTATTTAGTCACAGGGCAGTGCCCACTGTTTGCTGACTGAGTCCAGAGCAAGCGTGGGAAACTGCCACCACACTGGGAATCAGGCCCTATGACGTGGACCATTCTGCATCTCTGACCACAATGCCCGTCTCTGGACCATGTGACAGAGCGAGTATCTGGGAAGGCCGACAGCTCTACCTACCAAGTTCCTTCCAGTTAAGCCATACCATATAGGTGTGTGACAACCAAGTTAAGGATCGCCACCTAGTTTTGGACATTAGGATAAACTGTCTTCCAGCTTCCTGGACTTTTTTTGTGTCTGGAACTTTCCCTGGTGCTGAGTGGAGATTCTGACGTCAAGGCCTTTCCCAGCCAGGCTCACCCAAAGGAAAATGGAGTTAAAATCTCAGCAAATCCATCCTGCTGACGGATGTTTGAACATCTACATCAGTTTACTTTAGCAACTCTATCATAGACTCTCTTTAAAACATAAGGAAAGTTTGGATACATGGCTACACGTCTGTATACATAATATACATCTATGTACACACACACTATATACACTGTACATATATAGAATATATAAACACATGTACATTCATTCAGTCATATAAGCCTATAAATCTGTACACACACAATGCTGCTGAAGGGACCCCAGGGCTGGACATGCAGAAGTGCACGCTGGTGGGAGGCACACGTGAGGAGGTCCAGAACCCTGGGTACAAAAGAAAGACCCAAACCCACTCTGTCTTGACTGAGGAGATAGGAGTTGGCTTTACAAATTTACATCCAAGTTAAGACATTTTTGAAGAGCCGCACAATCTAGAGAATGGAAGTGGGACGAAGGAAGCATGTGGGGCATTTGCCCTGCCTGTTCAGCCCTTTCTAGAGACTAAAGGGCACTGCCCTCCCGGGATAAAAGTGGATGTCAGAAGATGACACTTAATGACCTGGGCTTACAGAAGAGTTGAATGGTCATCTACAGCCCCATTGCACAAAGGCCATCTCCACTGCAAAGTGGGCAACAAGCTTCTGGACTTGAATCTGATCAGGTCCTGGAACTTGGATCCATAGCCAAGGGCTCCTTGTCAGGCAGACAGCAGGCTGGGAGCAGGACTGCTCTGCTGGAAATTGCCCCAGAGGATTGGGATGTGGGTTTTTTCCCAGAGTAAAAGCACTAGATACAGCTAGAGCCCTTCTAGTTCTTGGCTCCCTGTAGCAGCTCTCTGCCAAACAAGCACAACAGCTAAGTAAGTATGTAGCATGGCTACAAGCCTCAGCTCTAGTGAGGGTGTTGCTGCCATATTAGGGAGCCGGAGTAGACATGGCCATCGCTATCACCATGGCTGGTGGCAACTGCCTCTGAACAGAGTCCATATTTAATACTGACAATTGAGGGCAATTACATAGTACATCTTATAACAAGTGACTACACCTGAAATTAAATATAAAAACCCAAACAACAAAAGAATCCCAACCACAGCCTCATGGCAGAGGTTAGACAATAAATATTGTAACTCCCCAACACACACACAAATCTCAAGTTAGAAGGGTGGTAACATACTTCCTTAAAAGTACTTTCTAAGAATAACTTGGAAAGTATTATTTGCTTGAGTAATTTGGTCTTAGTTTCTAAGTCTGCTCCTGTCCTGTTTTATGATTATATGTAATGAGCTCCACAAATTTCAACATTAACTGTCCAACATTATCTGAAATACTGCTGGAAAAGAGCCCACTTCATCAACAAGTGATGGTGTGTGTCTGTCCCCCCTCTCTTAGCCAGTGTACCTCTCTCCTCACTAAGGGAGGAATGGTGAGGCCAGTGGAAGGGGCATGTGAATAGGCTACATGGCAAAGAATCCTGCTACTGGCTTATTTCACTCAGGGATTCAGGGGGCAGAAGGCTGGCCTTACTTCACTAAAGCTAGAGTTGCACCAACTACTAACAAGGGTTAAAAGCCTTGTGAAAGCTGAGCCCAAATATTTGTTTGGGATCCCTTTAAATAAATCTTGACTTTGGGCTTACTTCTCCTAACCAATTTGACAAGAGATGGAATGGACCTGCTGTCAAAGGCTTGAAATGATTTGGGGCAGCGAGAATTCAGGTTATGTGGAGATGATCCTTAAGGAAAAGACGACTTCAAAGTAAGGTCAAGAGGATCTGGGAAACTAATGAGGTGTGTTCAAAGCCCAAAATGGTCCACTGGAATCAGCCATCACCAGCAGAGGGAATCGAGGCAGGACCAGGTTAGAATCAGCAACTTTCCAAGCTAAATTGATTTTTCTCCAGGGCTGTCTTGCTGGAGTGTGGCACTTCCTCATCTCAGTGTTCACTGTCTTCCTGCTGGTTATTACCTTCTCTTCCCAACACATGGCATAGGACCTCAGTCTAGGTCTTGGCTAAGCTGTCCCAATATCTTAAGGTGACTTGAGTCTAAAAGCCTAATGGACACAGGACTCGCAGGGCCTGCCCAGGAAATGAGGGGAGCTGGCCAGTGTGGACCTTTTCACCAACACCAAGAACTCAGATCTGAAAGATGTGACACAACATGTATTCCCAGGGAACTGCTACGTGATCACCAGACATTCTTACATTCAAAAATCAGAGGAACAGAAAAATAGGCAACTCACTGTGTAAGATGCGTAAACCTGCTTCACAATGCCCTCTGCTAAAATCCTTCACAAGCAGAAATGAAACAGACTCGCCCTAACTCCATTGTCTTGGCCAGTTTTTTGTCTTAATTTTGAAATTTAAATCATTTCAAAGTTAGAAAACCAAAAATTTAAGCTGGCAAAATTAAATCTTTTCTATCATTTTATAATGGGCACCCCCAGAATTCTCCAAAATTTGCTTCCAAGGCATGAACTATAAATGATATAAGTAAATCCAAACAGGAATTTAGCAGTTGGAGATACTGTCCCCATGTAATTCCCACTAGTGACTTTCATAAAATGATGCTAACACTTCCTTCAGAATAAAGCATCCTGTTTTGTTGTAAGCCTGTGGCCGGCTGGCCGGGCACCCATGCATAGCACCCGAGGCAACCACCTTGACTGAGGGCCCAAGACAGACCAGGAAGTGCCTGAGAGGCAGGGGAGTGCACTGGATATTTTTGGATATCATCTGATCAAAAGGTTCAACAGATGCAAATTTAACCTTACACTGTATTTTCTTAATCTGGGCTATCCAAAAAGAAAATACAAAGTGCCTGACCCAGGGTTGGACGTGCCACTTTTCCCAAACAGGAAAAATGCTTGCTGCTTACTCACATCCAGGGAATTTATGGGTGCTCTTCTCTAGATTTAACTTCCTTATAACTGCATTCTGTTCTCGTAAATGATGGTCGCTATAGCTTATAAGGAGAAAGAAGACAACTTTGGGAATTAAAGGTTGTTTTCTAAGGAGCAGGCAGCCTGCTTCTGCATCCATCATCTAAAATGCTCCAGGGGTGGTTTGCTGGCACACACCTAGGGGAATCAAAGTGCACGGTGTGCTAGTACCACTGAAAGGCTCAGCCAACAGAGAAGCTGAGTCTGGAGACGTTCTGAAAAACCCCGATATTTAAGGTCAACAGAGAAACCTTCCATTCAGCTTCACTACCACAACCCTGGCCCGGCAGCAAGATCCTGCCTGTCCCACTCCACCTCACTGCACAGTTCTGACCGAACTGCAGGAATACAAGCCCTTCTCAAGGGGGCATTTGGAATGGAAACCCCTGAGAAGGGAATCTTCACACTCCCCCATCTGAACAATGTGCAGCCGCCCCAAATTCTATTCAGGAAGTAGTGTCAAGGGTTCAAAATGCCCACCTTGCATTTTTTGGTCAGAAGGCTCCATGGGCCATGAGTGGCAGAGGTGGTGTGGGGATGTTTTCAGTTGCTGCAGGAATTGGCAGTTGATGTCTGACTGCTTGCAATCCAATTCTGAGAACCAGGCATCAGAAGAGAGCCCCACGTTTAGAGGAGCCTGCAGATGCCCCTCACAGACCAGGACCAGAGGTCAGGGAACCTGACAAGCATCAACTCTATGGCTGAGAAAGCTTCTGGTTTGGGTCACCACGGATTGTACTACCACACTCCCACTTAACTGCATGATACAGATAGGCCACGTTTTCATTCATTCAGAGGAATTTAGCTCAACACCACCAGTGTGCATACAATTAGGAATGATGCCTTTTCTTAAACATAAATGATTGTCTCCTGTACCCTAGTGCGTTTTCACAGAAATCATAGCATCTCGGCAAGACATACACAGTTTTACACTTGCGCTGCCCATAGGCAAGATGTTGCTAACATTACGCATTGATAAGAAGTGCTTAGAAAGTGCTAATATTATTACCCTGGTAATTAGTAGCTATTAATTCCAAGGACATTTTTAATATATATACACACATACTGTTCTCTTAGGTTCTTTTAGTTTTCTTTAATACTAGTCTCTGACATTATAAAACTTTTAGTTTTTTGCCCTTTGAGAATTTCTAAATACAAATTGAGTTAAAAGATTGTTCCAAAATCTGCTTCATCAAAAGGCATTAAAACATTTCTTATGGCAGGAAAGGATCCTACTAGTCTTTTAGTTGTTACTGTCTAGGATTAACAGATAAGAAGAAACCAGGTGGGAAATGGCTAACATACTGGAAATATTTGCACATACCAAAATACCACTACTTTATTTTCTTTGTATGTGAGCGGTCCTGGGAGGATCCTTTTGCTCCTTGACAGGTGTGTGGTGTGCACTATAGACTGGCTCCGGTGATCTGGCCATTATATTCTGCTGTCTCCATCTTGAGGATGTAGGGGATTATGCTGTCTATCGAAACATTGCCAATGAGACCAGTAAAAAAAAGTTCTTCTGTTATGTTGGAGCTCATCAGCCTGAGTGCTGGCAGGCGGACGAGAATCCGGGCCAATCTGTAAGAGGGAGGGTTGTTAGAGAAGAGGGGTTCCCTGCCCTTCACACTTTTCCCTGGACAGGCTCCCAGGGGCCCTGTCTGCACTGCTCGGAATTCAACCAAACAGATCCAACCAAAAACACCCCTTGTTTTTCTGATTTCAACAGTTCCTCCTGTAGAAATTTATCATGTGAAAAACATCAAACAAGTGAGTGCAAAGATGTATGTACAAATATGTTCCCTTCATTGTTTATAACAACTCTCCCCACCTCCATCAAAAAGAAAAATTTGGGGGCCTGCCCAGGTGGCGCAAGTGGTTAAGTGCACATGCTCCACTTTGGCAGCCTAGGGTTCGCAGGTTTAGACCCTGGGTGCGCACCGACACACCGCTTGTCAAGCCATGCTGTGGCAGTGTCCCATATAAAGTAGAGGAAGATGGGCATGGATGTTAGCTCAGGGCCAGTCTTCCTTGGCAAAAAAAAAAAAAAAAAGAGGAGGATCAGCATCGGATGTTAGCTCAGGGCTGATCCTCAAAAAGAAAAAAAAGAAAAATTTGGAAATCAATAGAGGATAGGTTAAAATAAAGTATGGTATCTCCATATAACAAATTACTCCATACTCATTAAAAAGGATGATAAAGATCTATATTCATTGATAAGGACAGAAAGAAGTCCATGACATACATCTGAATAAAAACTTAAAAGGAGGTTGTGAAGCAGCAAATACAGCACAGTCTCACTTGTGTATATTTATTTGTGTGTACATGTGTAAGTAAAGTATTTGGAAGGATGTTCACCAGAATGCTAATGGTTGGCCTCTGGGTATTGGGATTTGGAGTGCTTTTACCTATTAAAACTTTTTTTGTATTGCCCTAATTTCCAGTGTTCGTTTAACATTATAATTAAAAATAAAGTAATGAAATTGTTTTCGTTTTGAAAAGATCCTGGGTGGGAGGGCACACCAGGACCCTATCCTGGTGGGCCAGTGGACACTGTATCTGAAACATCCCGTGTGATCAGCCATTCTACACCAGTGCAGAAAGTGTGTGAGCAAGGACGCCTACTGCAGCATCAACCCAGTCTGGAAACAACTGACACTCTCATCAGGAGTGAAATGTTCAAGAAATTATAGCATCTCCTTAGCCATGGAAAATGATGAAGAATATGTATGTTCATTGAATATTAAATGAAAAAAAGGTTACAAAACCTTACTTTGTCTTTTATGATTCCAATTACACATACACAAAAAATTTCTGGAAGTAAATACATAAAACATTCACAGGTATCTCTGGATGGTGGTATTTACATGGAGTTAAAAGTTTTCTGTTTGCTTTCCAGAATGTTCTAATTTTTTGCTAGTTAACATTATGTTATTTTTGAAAAGGGAAAATATATTCATATTATGCAAGTAGCATTCCAGCACCATCATCCATTTGCCCAGCCCCTGTGAGTCTTGCAGGGCACACAGAGGTATAAGGGGACACCACCACAGAGCTGGATGGGCTGACAGGCTGAAGGGTCTCAGGAAGTCAGCAAGGGTAAATCAGGGAGGACTTCCTGGAGTGTGGAACATGTCAGCTGTGCCTTAGAAGCTGGCTAAGGTTTCTATCAGCAGAGATGCAAAGAATGGGAGGGTATTTCAGAAAGAACAAACAGTATGAGAAAAGGCATAAGGATGGGAGAGACTGAAAAAATGTGCAAACAGGATGTAAACCATTCTAGGGCCTTTTCTTTGGGAACTGTCTTTGACTTTTGTAAGAAGGCCAGCCCAGTGGCGTAGTGGTTAAGTTCACACGCTCCGCTTCAGCGGCCTGGGGTTCAAAGGTTTGCATCCCGGGTGCGGATCTACACACTGCTCATCAAGCCATGCTGTGGCGGCATCCCACATACAAAACATACAGGTTTGAACAGGAAAGACTGGCACAGATGGGACAATCAGGGACAATCTTCCTCAAGCACAATAAATAAATAAATAAATAAATAAAAATAACTTTAAAAAAAAAAAAAAAAAGAAGGAAAGCCTCCCTAATTTCATTTTTGGCCCCAAATCACCTGGCTTGCCCTCCTCTTCTCTGGGATCCCTGACTGGACCAGGAGTGACTCAGGATTTTTTCACAAACATCTACTTTCGAAGGCCAGAGAGCTGCTGTTGTCAAGGTGATTCTAGTGTGCTGTGGCTCTGCCAGCAGCCTCCAGAGAGGCATTTCCAGCCTCTTCTGGCCAGAGGCACTGTGTGGAAGTAGGCGCATGGCCTCCTCAGGGGATAGGCTTGCACACACGCCTGGCTCGATGTGTGAGTTCTGGGTGTGGGTACATTACTTGACAGTCCCATTCTGTATGTACTGAGGCTAAAGTTACTCTAGATTCACATGAGGTCTTCAGTGATTCCCGCAGAAAACGGATTCTGCTTTGACAAAAGCTGCATCTAGGCCACAGAGGTGTGCCTAAAGTAGAGGCAGGATCTCTGCCAGCAGGGCCAGCCAAAGGCTCCCCAGTCACACCAGAGAAATGGTGTGGGCTTAGGGCATCTCCATTCCACGGGGCACCTGCAGGCTGAGGCCTGCACAGGGGACACAAGTTGGGGAAAAACAGGGCCATGCATCTTCCCCGTCAATTTCTCTCCAGTGTTTACTCTGAGGGGACACGGTGGGGAGGGAAATATTAAATAATTTGCTTGACAGGACCCCAGAAATTCACGTAGCTTCCACTGGGTCAGAAACGGCCATGAGGAAAGAGCTCATCCACTCCTTGGCTGGACAGCCTGCCAGGCTCTCTGCCCTACTTCAGAACAACTTTCCTGTTCAAACCAGTATGAGAAAAGCTCATTTATACCCATATATCTGCCTCCTTTATAGGGGTCAGATTTGGTTTCTGTCAATGAAAACTTTTCTGTCAAGTACTCTAGTCCTGCCTCTTCAGTGGATGCAGACCAGAGGGGCAGAGCTTCTATTCTGGACAAGGGGAGTCTCCATGAGAACTCACGCCTCATGCACAATGTCAGCCCCAGAGGAGATCAGACAGCATTACTCCAACCCCTTGACTTAAAGTAGAGCAACCCATGGTCTTGCTCACAGTCTACCCAGCAACACTGGAATGGCTCAGGATTCCTGACCCTCCCACCTAGCACTTTCCACACTCCATTACCACCCATCAAATGCAAGAATTAAAGTGTGATCAAGCGGAGGCTCTACTAGGCTGCTAGAAATGGGAAGGCTAACATACTTTATATTTGCAACTACAGATCCAGCTTCTTGCCCCAGCAAGAGCGTGTGCCTGTGTGCCTCACCGGTAGGTGTCCTCCGAGTAGGTTTTCTGAACATAGTCCTGCAGCTCCATCTGTGCCTTTTCTTGGAATTTTTCAATCTGGCTTGTGCTAGTCAAACCTGGATGATCTGAAAAGAGAAAATTCCCCCGAAATTGCCCTCTGTATTTGGAAAGCCTCACTTGCAGACTTCTTAGTACTTATTTTTAGTCAAACTTCTGGCAAATTTCTCAAGTACAACAGATTGAACTCTGAGGGCTGATCTGCTTTGGATATTATTGTTAAAACACTGTTCTGCTCTGTGCTCTGCCAAGGCCTGAAGGTTCCAAGGATGGGGCTGGGCTCCTGTGTGGTCACACCAGCCTCACAGCCCCACCTGAGTGGTTCTGGACACCTGGCTTCCTACTACTTGAGAAAACACACAGATTTTAAAACTGTCACATGAGATTAGAAATTATCATTTATTTTATTGATATTTAATCACTTAATTTCTCCAATTTTTATTAGCTGTTTTGTTGTTCATGAGCGGAGGGCTAGGGACGAGGGGAGAAGTAAGGCTGTGTCCAACCCCAGCTGTCAAGGACAATGGTCAGGACAACAGTCAGCCCAAGCGACCTCTCTGGAGGCTCCGAGAGAACAGCTGAGGGGGAGTGAGTGAGGCGGCCTGCTCATCTTTTACTTTCCACCCAAGTCCTGCTGCCTCTTCTTCATCTGCTGTGACCACACCTTTCGGCATGCCCTGCAGCAGCTGCTACTACTGCCCTACACAGATAGTGGGTAAATCTGTGTAGTTCCCATCTGTACTGGATTACATGTGCTAACATAACCTAAAAATTGGCAAAGAGCAAAACAAAACAGAAACAGGACACTGGATGGTAGTATACTCTTTGCATGCTGCAGTCTTGTTTGGCCAACTGTCTAATTAGGATACAGATTAAATCTAGTCAGTATAATAAAGTCATGAGGTACTATAGCATATTTCTTTGAGACTGTAAAGGTAAGGATTTAAAAGAATGTTATGTATTTATGTTAGCTAGCAAAGCACACCTATTATAAGAACATTTGGTCACATACAATCTGGCAGGGCTCTCTACAATGCCGAAGACTTGCCAACATGTTCACGTTCAGAAATATCAGTAGACAAAGGTGAAAAACTGTCATGAGTCACCACCGCATATCTTACCGGGGCTAAAGAGAACTATAGCTTTAAGGTATGCATACTCATAGCCGTCTATATCCAGCTTCGCCATACTGTTACAGAACTCTTGAAGCTTCCAGATGTGCTCCATGACTTGCTTTATCCGGTCGCCAGAAAGTTTATCTAGAAATCAATATCACAGATCCTCTGAGAAAGGCTGATAAGAACAGTAACACAAGCTTCGAGGGACCACAGATTGAAAGAAATGAGAGAATAATTTCACTTTTTAATGAAAAACTAGTTATCTCAAGATGGTCAAGAGCCTCGTTTTCCAGCTGAAGGTGAAGTGACAACAGGTACCCAAATTCTGCTCCATTATATATTCTGCCTCAATAACGAACCCCTGGACCAGTGATACTTCCTGCTCCCACCCTGGGCGGCAGCTTTGGCCTGTAGGTGCAGACTGGTAATTCTTTTTATTCTGTGGGTAAGACCCATACATCAATTCTTATCAATGGTTAGTTTTTCTAAGTCTCTGCAAGCATTTAATAAATATTTGCCAATCTGAACCTTAAATGTTGGCATTTTTTAGCTGTCAAAACAATTCTGTGTTATCTGATTTAATCCTCATGACAATATTTTGCTGAAGGTATTAGTATTATGCCCTGTTAAAAATGAAGAAAACTAAAACTCATTTGTGAACAAATCTAACTGAAATTCAAAAAAATGTTATAGGGTTTAAAAAATCATCTTTATTTAACTATGCCAAAGAATAACTGGGAAAACAAAGGTGTGACTAGGTAACACATTCCTAGATATCAAACACCTGGAATGCCCAATTAAAAGTGCAGCTCAATTCCAATTCAGCTGCAAGTGTAGATTTTTGGTGTTAGTCTGGAATCCTGGGCATGCTCCTTCTAGATAGCGTCTTCAGTGTGTGTGGACATGCAGCATGTGGAGAGACTGCACTATTTCCTGGACCTGACATGGCAGGGATTTGACCACCAAATGTTAGACGGTTGCCACAGATCTTATCAGGAGAGTCACTTGTTCATTCATGAGGAGCTGGGTGGAACTGCGTCCTAGACTAAGGGGTTGGCATGAGCCAGGCTGGTGCCCCAGGTCTTCTACCTGCTGTTTCATTTGGGGCAAGCCAGGGACCTTACCGGGACGTCAGTTTCCCCAAATGTAACATTGAGATCATAGTCTCTGCTTGATGGGGTTGTGAGGATTTGTGAGATATTACACATGAAAGGGTAACCTGTCATGAAGATGAAAATATAAGCTGTGATTATTCTGAAAACATCACTAAATGCTTATGTATCAAGATGGTGGCAACTTTTTTCAATTATCTTTTTTTCTCTTTCATATTCGTTACATGAAAAGAAGGCTGTCAGGCAGAAATTTAAATGTTCTGACTGGTCAAGGTCCTGTGACTTAACAGGTAAATTTCCCTCAGCCTGCGGATGCTGTGGGACACTGAGGCTGGCCAATTTGCAATAAGCCAGCCTAGACCAAGACATACTCCCTCATGTTCCCAGCCCTACCTTCCTGGATACTGTTCTGCAGGTGGTTGACAATGGCCGCCAGGATGGTGGAGAGACTCATGACCTGGGCACACTGGGCCAAGCCGAGGGTGAAGAGCTCATTCCAGCAGGCCCGCACCAGGCTGGTGTTGCAGTCCTGCCTGGGGACACAGAGGTGAGGGTGGGTGTGGGTGCATGATGGCACTTCTCCAAGCCCCAGCATGTCCCAGAACAAGTGGATTCAGCAAGTGTTTGCTGAAGGGCTCATTCAGGATCATTCTCCAAAACACCATTATTTATGAATCTCTTAACTAAAGTCCCTCTGAGAATAAACTATCTTTCTCTTAAAAAACATTCTTTAGACTTAAGTAATGAGAAATTTTAATAGGCACAACTAAACTGTCATTTCCTACAGCCTTTCAAATTCGCAGCAGTCCTGGTGTGGCTCTGTCATGAGAGGCCGCAGAGATCAAAGGACTAAGAGCTGAGTGTGGACTCTGAAGGGAGGAGACATATCCTACATCTACGCTTGAGAACTGAGGGCCTGCAAACCTCGCAAGGGAGGAGCTGCAACTGCAGCAAGGAGGAAGGGGCCAGCCAAGTCAGTTTTCAGCCCTGCCTTAGGTCATTTATACTCAGGATAGCATGGTGGGTGCATTGCAAAACAGTTAAGTCCTTGTCTTAGAAGCCCCCAGATGCAGCATCCCTCTACTTGTCTCAAGATATCAGGACGACACCTGCCTTCTGTTCCACACCATCCCTGCCTCCTAGCACTAAGTCCTCAGCACATGCAGAAGGCTTGACAAAGGACTGAGGAATACTGTAGCATTGGCAACCATGGTCCCCTTACAGTAGTAAGTCTACTGATTGTATTTAATAAGAAAATCAGGTCACAGGAAACAAACTGGAAGGGCCCTCAGAGATCTTCCAGGCCATTTCTAGAGAGGGGAAGGCTCTTGCCCAAGGAAATGCAGAAAAAAAGGCCACTCACCCAAGTGCCTGAAAGGCTGGGATTGACCTGGCCCAGTGCATGGAGAGGAAAAGCAGGCGGGACGCAGACTCACAGATGTAGTGCACGTTGAGGTACTCTGGCATTGGGCTGGGCATCGTGAGCTGGAAAAAAGGAGGTACACAGCACAGGAGATGACAGAGGGACAGGGGATGGCTTTGTTCGTCAACATGAATCCCTGCTGCGTTTCAACAATTGTGGCAGCTGGAGTCACTGTCTCTGGTGTTGAAGTTCCTGAGCAGGCCCATCCTTATGAAATACGTGTCCTCTGAAGCAGGGGGCTGGCACAAACTCCCCACGGTTTCTTGCCCAGTGAACTAGGGTCTGATGGCCCTTGAAATGTGGTCAATGATGGGGACCTCCCAGTTTACCCATACAAAGACATACTTTTCAACTCTTGACTCAATTAAATTATTTGTTCTAAGGCAATTCCATTTTAAGCCATATGTTAAAGTCTAAACTGAATCGAGGAACAAGGGTCAACTTCATGGGCTAGCAGGCATTTGACAGGTGGCCTCAAGGTAAAAGTGAATGAGAGCTGAGCAGAAGCCCTGATGGTAGGCGGATGATATCCCACCACCAGAATGTCATGTCTGGGCTCCAGGAGCTCCACTGTCTAGAAGGGACTCTAATGCCTTTGAAGCTAGAATCCCACTGGTGACCTGTGTCCTAGGCACCCTTGGGCAACTATGAGCAGGAACCCAATCTCCCTAAGTGACTGGCCAGATCCCTCTAGTGAAGAATCCTGGGGGGACAGGAAGACTCAGTCTGGAGATCTGGAGACTGAGAGGGCTTCAGGGAACCCAGGAGTGTCCTGTAGAAGAAGCGAGGCCAGTGGAGGAGAGTGTGGGAAAGACCTATGAGGACCTTACAGCACTCTTTAAAGACATCTGAGGGGCCGGCCCCATGGCTTAGCGGTTAAGTGCGCGCGCTCCGCTACCGGCGGCCCGGGTTCGGATCCCGGGCACGCACCGACGCACCGCTTCTCCGGCCATGCTGAGGCCGCATCCCATATACAGCAACTGGAAGGATGTGCAACTATGACATACAACTATCTACTGGGGCTTTGGGGAAAAAAAAAGGAGGAGGACTGGCAATAGATGTTAGCTGGTCTTCCTCAGCAAAACGAGGAGGATTAGCAGGGATGTTAGCTCAGGGCTGATCTTCCTCACAAAAAAAAAAAAAAAAAAGACATCTGAGATCTATTTTCTGTGGCTCTAGAGGGCAACTGGTCAGGACCAATGGTTGGGAATAAGGGTTGGCTGCCTGCTTGTTGGAGCAGATAAAGGCCTGAGCCTACGCTGGAGTCAGGCCGTCATCAGAAGGCAGACGGCAGAGCAGTCAGCTGTCAGCCCTCCCTGGTCAGCACCAAGTCAGCCCGTCATGGCAAAGACAGGCCACACCCGCTTCAGGGTTACCTTCAGAGCCAAATGGTACTGCGAGCTACTGTTCTGAAATAAAAGACGCTAATCAAATGTCACAATATGAAAAAGAGCTCACTCCAAGGTTTGATTTTTAAACTGAGACCAGCTTTGGTGCAGAGCCCCTCTCCCAGCAGGCTGGGGAGGCTGGGGGCATGTAGTTAGGCTGAATGCACTCACCTTAAATGTTACGTGAGTATCTGAAAGGAGGGGGCCTTCGACCTCAATAATGGGTGTGGACTGGTCTCTGCTGATGACGTGGATGCCTCCTCCTCCACTGGTGTCTATCCCATCTGCCAGGCTTGGAGGCGAGGAGCTGTCTGTGGTATTAAGTGCTTTAGCTAAGGTATCAAATGCCCTGTGAGCAAAAATGAAGCAAGCAAGTGTTGTGAATCCACAGCTTTTAGAGGGAAGAGAATTCTAGCTGAGACATAATTTAGAAAAACAATGCACTGGGGGAAAAGGTAATTAAATTCTACCTGCTGAGAGAAGGGATAACAATGAAAGTGTTGTCTATGTATTGTCTACACACCATCTTGGGCACTAAGCTATATATTATTTATTTTCACATGTAATTTCTACTTTTCATACTACTCTCCAGGGTACAATTTTCTCCATTTTACAGGTGTGAAAGCTGAGGCTTAGAGATGTTAAATAACTTTTCCAAGACCACCCACCTATTAAGTGGTGGAACCAGAATTCCACCTAACTCAAATCTCATCCTCTTTCTGTTGGATCTAGATCTTAATTTTGCTCAGACCACAAGTGACACGAGGACCAGCACACTCGTGTGGCCCCAGGCTATGCACCTGCCAGGCCTGCCAAGATGGGCAGGAGTGGCCAGTCCTATGGGAAAGGAGCAAACACAAGAGCCAAGCTGCAGAGAAGAAATCCTCATCAGCCAGTTATATAGGGGTCTGGGACCAGCTAATGCTATCTATCAGCTAATACTGATCTACCCCGATGCATTTAAGCTCTAAACTCACTACTTGGAAAAAATATACATAAGAAAAACAAGGTAAAATAGAAGTGGGGAAGGGGATGAACTATTAATATTCAGGCACAACAAACAGTGACTAATACATATAACATCTGTCCATTGAAGGGTTTTCTCCTGCTTCCACTGAGTTACTCAATTTCCTTTTTCACTGGAATTAAAAGCAGTTTTGACTGTTTATATCATGTAATATAAGTGGGTCCATGTTTTCATAGTTAAACTTTAAAAGAAAGACTGACATGCAGGGGCACTGTGACAACTTTATAATCCTTAATTAAAAACAGTGTGGGTGTCAAAATGCTGCCATCCACGACTACAATGCAGCAACCGAATGGGCACGTCAGGAGGGGAGCCTCCGCCCTCATGGGTTCATACCGAGTAATCTCACTTGCAGACTGGTCCTCCGGTTGCATTTCTGAAGTATCACCATTGTTAAGGGATTCACTTAGGTTGGCAAGGGAGGTTACCACATTTGCCAGTGTGCCCAGAGCTCCCTGGCTTGTTTCAGCCTATTAGACAAAAAACAGTAACAAGATGAACACACACATCCAAATGACTCTCAAGCCAATGAAGGTATAACGTTCGTTTAAAAACAGCTTCTAGGGAGGTATGACTACAACGGGGAAGCATGATGAAGATCTTTTTGGTGATGGAATAGTTCTGCATCTTGATTATGGTGGCAGTTACACAAATCTACACGTGATAAGATGACTACACATCATAAGATAACAGAACAAAAACAAATAAACTGGACTTCACCGAAATTTAAACTGTTGTGCTTCAAAACACATTATCAAGAAAGTAGAAAGACAACTCCCCCCACACAAAAGACAACCCACAGAATGGGAGGAAATATTTGCAAATCATATATTTGATAATGGTTATATTTAAAGAACTCTTCAATAATAAAAAGACAAGCCAGTTAAAAAATGGGCAAAGGATTTAAACAGACATTTCTTTTTTTTAATTTAATTTTTTGTGTGTGTGTGAGGAAGACCAGCCCTGAGCTAACATCCGATGTCAAGCCTCCTCTTTTTTTGCTGAGGTGGACTGGCCCTGGGCTAACATCCGTGCCCATCTTCCTCTACTTGATATGGGACGCCGCCACAGCATGACCTAACAAGCGGTGCATCGGTGCGCACCCAGGATCCAAACCTGCAAACCCCGGGCCACCGCAGCGGAGCGCGTGCACTTAACCGCTTGCACCACCCGGCCGGCCCCTAAACAGACGTTTCTTTAAAGATATACAAATGGCCAATAAGCTCATGAAAAGATGCTCAATATCAGTGGAAATGCAAATTAAAACTACCAATGAGATATCACTTCACACCTATTAGGATGGTTAAATGAATATATAAATAAGACAGATAATAACAAGTACTGACAGGGATGTGGAGAAATTGGAACCCTCATACACTGCTGGTGGGAATGTAAAATGGTGTAGTTTGAAAAACAGTCTGGCAGTTCCTCAAAAGTTTAAACATAGAGTTACCATACGACCAGCAACTCCTAAGTATATACCTTTGTTGTTAGTGCCGTTGAGTGGATTCCGACTCCTAGCGACCCTGTGTACAGCCAAGCAGAACCCTGCCTGGTCTTTTTGCACATCTTCTCACCTTCTGGCACTATATTAGACAATGCTCCACTGCTACTGATAGGGTTTTCATGGCCAACTTTTCAGAAGTGGGTGGCCAGGTCCTTCTTCCTAGTCTTTTTAGTCTGAAAGCTCTGCTAAAACCTGTCCATAATGGGTGACTCTGCTGGTATTTGAAATACTGGTGGCATAGCTTTCAGCATCACAGTGACAGGCAGCTGTCACAGTATGACAACTGACAGTTGGGTGGTATGGTCCCCTGACTGGGAATCAAACCTGGGCCGTGGCGGTGAGAGCACTGAATGTTAACCACTAGACCACCAGGGATAGCAGTATACGTATATACATAAGAGAAATTAAAACATATATCCACAAAAAAACTTGTACACAAATGTTCATAGCAGCATTATTCATAATAGACAAAAAGTAGAAATCCAAATGTTCATCCGCTGATGAAGGGATAAATAAAATGTGGTATAGCCATCCAATGGCATAATATTCAACAATAAAAAGGAATGAAGTACTGATACATGCCACAAGGATGAACCTTGAAAACATTACACTAAGAGAAAGAAGCCAGTCACAAAAGGCAACACACTGCATGACTCATTTTATATGAGATACCCAGAATTGACAAAACCATAGTTAGAAAGTAGATTAGAGCCAGCCTTGATGGCCTAGTGTTTAAGTTCAGCACGCTCTGCTTTGGTGGCCCGGCGTTCAGTTCCCAGTCACAGAACCATACCACTTGTCTGTCAGTAGCCATGCTGTGGTGGCGACTCACATAGAAGAACTAGAAGGACCTACAACTAGGATATACAACCATGTATGTACTGGGGCTTTGGGAAGGGGGAAAAAAAAGCAGATTAGTGGTTGGGAGTGGGGGTAAGGGGAAGTGATTGCTGAATGGGTTCAGGGTTTCTTTTTGGGGTGACGAAAATGTTCTGGAATTAAATAGTGGTGATGGTTGCACAACCTTACAAATATAACAAAAAGCACTGAGTTGTACACTAAAAGGGTGAATTTTATGGTATGTGCATTATATCTCAATTAAAAAAAAAAAAGCCAGAGATAAATTCAAACAAATAAGCCAAGATATGTATACACAAATGTCTGTTGTGTCTTGATTACAAAAGTGAAAAACTAGAATCAATAGAAAAGATCATAAACAGAGAAACGATTAATAAATCACAGAACAACCACATAATAGACTATTTTGCAACTGCTAAAAGATGTAGGTCATCATGATAGAAAGATATGTTGAAGGAAAATGAAAAAGAGTGGGGGGAAAAAAAAGAGAACAGAACCCACATGTTGTACCAACGTTGTGTCTGGTTTTGATACTGTCCTACAGGTCTGCAAGGGGATGCCACTGGAGAAACTGGGGAAGGTACACGAGGTCTCTGTAATAGCTTTGTGTTCGTTCAAAGTCAATTATTTTGAATGTGTAATTATTTCAAGTTAAAATTTCAAAAAACATCTTCTGAAAATAGCTCCCTTTAGGTGCTTTCCATATGTTCTGTTAACCGTGATGAACTTCTGGGGTGGGGACTGTTACTTCCATTTTACAGAGCAGGGAATGGGGTGGAGCCTGGGTCTGACTCTGCAGCTCTTCCTCTTACCTACTACTTAAACACTGCGCAGCTGCTGGTTCCTCTTCCTCTAGCTGGTGACCATAACTAACTCCTAACAGTTAACATTTGTTGAGTGCTCACTGTATGCCAAGTGCTTTATAAAATTAACTTACTCAAGTTTCCCAACACTCCTGTGTGGTGGGTACTGAAGGAAACTGAGGTGTAGAAAAGAGGGCACACAGCTACCAAGAACACAGTGCTGGGCTCTGAACCCAGGTCTGGCTGACTCTGGAGTCTCGGTTCTTATTCTCAGACTCTGCATGGACGGCACAACAGAACAGTTGCTGTGAAATCCCTTAGAAATCAGGAGTTTTAAGGTTATTCATGCCTTACTTTTAGGCTTACGGTTTCCCTCCACCCCACTACACAGTCACTGTCCCGAAAGTCTGCTGGGTGACAGCAGTGAGCCAGGTATGATTCCCAGGTCACACACATCATCACTGCCCACAGACGGGAAGCTCAAAGCCCAGCATGAGGACCAGGGGGTGGAGGGCAGCTTTCTGTGCTAGCCAACGCCTCTAACTTTTGCCTTTTCTTTCCCAAAAGAGAATGCCCCTTAAAGTACTAAGTGTGCACACCTATGTGCATGTGAACAGATGAGAAGGAAAAGCCTGAAGGCCTTGCTCTGGCTCTGAGCAATGCCAAGTGGTCTGTTACTGAGTGGCTCCTTTTAGAGAAGAAAAACTGGACCTCAGCTGTGCCTTGCTGCTACTTCATCATTATTACTTGGGTTACATCAGGAACAACAAGATGAGAAGAACAGTGGATTCCCTTGCCTGGATAAAACGCTCCTCCTTAGTTATCTTCAGAGGAGTTAGCCAGTTGTCCCTCTCTCTTGGATTGACAAACATCTCTGACCACAACAAGTTAAATTCCCTATGGCTGATTTGCTCTAGCAAAGTTTTAAAATTGTTAGAATCCTGGCTGAACTTCCTCCCACAGATCATCTAATAAAAAGGAACTAAGGGCTTCTGCAAAAGGCCATCTTAGGATAAATAGCTATTTCCTCAGCATGCCAGTAGTTTGCCAATGTGTGTACTGGGGGAAAAATCTTTTTTTTGCAGGGGAAGATTTGCCCTAAACTAACATCCATTACTCATCTTCCTCCTTTTTCTTCCTTTCTGCCCTCCCCCAAGCCCCAGTACCTAGTTGTGTATAGTTGTAAATTCTAGTTCTTCTACGTGAGCCACTACCACAGCATGGCTACTGACAGATGAGTGGTATGGTCCTGCGCCTGATAACTGAACCCGGGCTGCCAAAGTGGAGAGTGCGGAACTTTAACCACTAAGCCATCAGGGCTGGCTCGGAAAAATCTTAATAGAGAACTATAGAACTTGTGCCAAACTGAACTCTAGACCCTGACATGCTATAATGACTATGACCAGCCAGCCCCGAGTTTCTGAAAAGCCATCAGCATCCCTAAAATAAATCACAGGTGGCTGTATCACAAGAAGAAGGCCATGCTTTCAACATGGTCTCTGAAGGCCAAGAAGAAGGTGGGTACACACATTTAGAGAAGCAGTCTGCACTGCAACATAAAGGTGGAAAAGGCACAGGTAAAGAACATCACCTTGGAATCCGTGGCCAGGAGAACCGTATCATCCTCACGTATCAAAGGCTGCTGGATGTTCACAAGCATCCCTGGATCAAGAAGACCCGTTTGTCTATTTAAGACATAAAGAAACCCAGAGTAGCTTCCAACATTTGATATACAGTATGATCATGCTGCATTTCCCTGTCCCTTCCACATTTGCAAAGCTGTCTGAGTAATAGAAAAGCTCTAACTAGACTCAGCCACCGAGTAACGGAACACTCCCCTTCTCTCTGCAACAAGATGTGCACAAAGCCAGGGCTACAGGCTGACACACAGGTGTACATCACCCAGGGCTTCCACACTGACCACCCACTATGGCCGCTCTGCCAAATAAAGCTAATTTGATTTTCAGAATATCACCAAAGCATTCTCAAACTCCAGTTCTATGATACATTTTTGATTTCTTGTTTTCTCTCTTTCTGTTCCTTTTAAATTAAGTTCAATAGATTACATTAAAAACAGTGCATAAATTAACTTGTGGCACTATCTGAGACCACACCTGGGACTTAAGCCTTTTGTCTATACTGCAAAGAAGGCCCAATATTGAATTACAGAACACTGTTTTCCTGTATGAATAATGCCTAAACTGCAGGACATAGTCTGAGCCCCTGAGATAGGAGAAATGCTGACCCCATCTCTAATCAGCCATCGTCAGGCCTGTCCAAAGGTTGACTGGAGCGGCTCCAAAAAGGGTGGGATGAAGCAAGACAAGGCTGAAGGCTGTAACAGGTGGGCGGGGAGCTACAGAAGCCCCCTTTCCCAGGAACATCATGCCTCCTCTGATCAGCCCTGGAGGCTGACCATGGTGTTGCCCTTTGTCAAAACAGGGACTGACCTTGTTCCATCTTTATCTGCCACAAACGTGGGAGTGGCTATCAGAGGACTTCTCAGGTCCTTCCGGATATAAATTTTCTCAGTTGAAGCAGCACAATTACTTGGTTTCTCCCGTTGCACATCAAAAGGCTTCCGTTCACTTTGTACAGCTAAATCAAAGATAAATATTCATGTTTAGAGGAAAGATTTGAATAAAAACCACATTTTTCATGGTACAGTAAGGGGTCCTCCTTAGTAAGTCCATTACTGTAGGGATGATAAGCTCTGGCACTAGATATGTCTAGCTCAATTTTCACAGTGGACTTTTCAGCCAAAGGACAGAAAGGTTCAAAGCTAAACAATGCCACGCCAAATCTAAAGGCTGAAAAGAGAGCTCAAGATGGTAGGCACCGCCTGCTAAGAAACTGCAGCACAGCATTTGCATGGCCTTGTGGGAGGCCCACACTGAGCCCTCACTCTCCAGGATGAGAAACACCCATCTTAAAGTGGGTCCCGAATAGAGAGCTTGTCCAAAGCTACACATTGTAGAGGAACCATGCTAATGTCCAACCCAAGCCTGCATGGCTTCTGCAAACTGTTTAATGGGTGTCAATTCTGTATCACCCTAGCAACCTCTCCCTTCAGCAATATGGTGTATCCAGGCCAGGTACAGATGCTAGAAACAACTGAAGAAAATAACGATCTTTTTAAAACAAAGAAAGGATGAACCCCAGACCCAAGAAGGAAGTAAGGTAAGGAGTTCTACTTCATAGACGAGGACCGTGAGGCTGAGAGAGGCTACGTGTCCTCCCCAGGCCTCAGAGCTCCTAAGTGGCAGAGCTGGAGTTTGATTTGGTATCAGCTTTACTCCAAAGCTGTGTTCACTCCACTGTGCTGCCTCCCCATTTAGCTAGAGTAGCTCTCCACACGCACCATGGGAACTGACTAACCCAGCAGTGCTGGCGCTGAATCACCTAGCTGATCCAGAAGGTAAACCAAAATGAAGCCTGAGTGGATATTTTTTTCTTAAAGTATTTTAAAGCCAGGTACAGAAACCTTATTTAATAGATTCTTGCTCACTTTCTCCCTCCTTGTTAACTCACGTGGTTTTTTAATACTTTTACTTACATTCCATTTTCATGCCCATCTCTAAGCATTTTTTCAGCCGGCAAAACTGACAGCGGTTCCGGTGGTGTTTATTGATGATGCAGTCTTGGTTGCTCCGGCAGCTATAGGTCAAATTTTTCCTTACACTCCTTTTGAAGAAACCTTTGCAACCTTCACAACTGACAGCCCCATAATGACGGCCTGAAAGGAGAAAGAGTGCATGAGCCAACAGAAGAGGTGATCTGTCACAGGCCTTGTTTTTAAGGCAAGTCTATCCAAGTGACTGGTGTGCAGTGTCAGATGCTGGTAGCCATGGGACAATCACAGGCCTGGGTATTACACATGGCGCCCAGGTCCTTCACATAATTTCACTACAACCTTTCAAGTGGCCCAGAGAGGCCATGATAGAAAAACTGAAGCTCAGTTTATAAATGACAGGACCTTAGTCATGTTCTTAGTACAAAAAGGACCTACCATACAGTAGGAGCTCGTAGATGATGGCTGAACTGTACTATCCACTTGTGCACACCTGGTCCTGGCTCTGTAGACCCAGGACTGTGAAACTACTCAGCACCCCTGTCCCGCCAAGAGTGGCAGGTAGCAAACACATGTGCTATGTTTTAGCACAAAGGGTCTCACTCCTGCAGTTACTCCCTCTGAGTGAGTAATGTCCTGGTTCCTAGACCTACTCTGGGGGAAGCAGAATGGTCAGAGGAAGAAGCATGGGGACTGACTGCATAGGCCCAAGGTGAAGGAAGGTTGCCATGTGGCTCACTTGGGTTAGGTATTCAGATCCTTTTGGAAACACAGTCCTAGAAATACATTTTTAAATTAAACACAGCCTGTTTTTCTAATCTTGTTTACTTTAGTGTCTCTAACTTCTAACTACCAATGACATTAAAAAGAGCCCCCTGCCTGAGTTTACCCCTCCTAGTTCACAAAGTGCTTCCACATGCATTATATCTCATTTGTTCCCCCGTGGGACTGACCATGGATATGCTTTCCTGGTTCGGTCTTATGTAACGCAATGACTTAGCTACGTTGCTGGGAGGACACATTTCACAGGATCATTATTTACAGCGGCTATAGAGCATCCCATTGTCCTAAGCTCTAGCATGTGCACTTGAAGGGTCTCAATTTTGTGCCTTTAAAAATAGTTGTGCTAAAATTACCATGCAGCATCATTTTTCCTTCCTTGTGGGGTATTTCCTTGGGCTCTCTAGCCCTAAGAGTGACCTCCACTATCTGGAGACAATGGCACTGCCAGCCTGTGACCAGGCCGTTCCTTTAAGAAGGGGACTGACAAATGGGGAAGCCAAGAAGATTCTGTGGCCTCTTCGTTATGTTCATGCTTCGTTCATTTGTCTAGAAGTTTGCAGAGTGCCTCTTTTTGCTGAGCAAGAAGATGGGTATATAGAGATGAAGGGGTCAGACATGGTTCTTGCTCTACCTCAAAGAGCACATTCTGGTGGGGAAGGCAAGCCTGTAAGAATGAATTATAAGAGAACGCAACAAATGCCCAGAGAGGTCTGCACAAAAAGGCAATGAGGACAGAAGCAACACCGACTCCTGCCGACTGGGGCAGATGAGGGCTTCAGAGAAGGGTGGGATGGGCTGGGTTTACCAGGACAAAGGGTGGGAGCAGGGGCAGGGAACCCCGGCAGAACAAATGGTGTCATGAGCTGGGAGGCGGACTGGAGCTTCTGACCTGTAGGTGCTTGCCTGGAGGCTGTCTTCCTAAGAGGTTTGGTCCAGCCTCCTTTTTAAAAAAAAAAAACAAACAGAACCAAAAAGTGCCCAAAGTTCCTGTGAATTTAGTAACCACAGAATAAAGTGGAACCAACAGCCATCACAGAACTCAGGCCTGTGCCCCTAGCATCACTAGAACTGTGCCTTTATCAAATACTTCTCCATTCTTCCCTGCCTGCCACACTTACCTTCTACAGCTCCCCAGTGTTAGAGGCCAAAGTCTGAACTTTTGGGCCAGACATCTTTTTCAGTCTCCTTGTACCCACATCCTAACCATGGAACTCTTGCCCAAAGACACCATAAGTGTGGACATTAAACTCGCTGGGCCCTGGCTCTACCAGCTGGAAAGCCCTTTTGCTTTACCCGACATGCACACACTCAACCTCCAAGGCTTACAGATGTGACTACCTCTGGGGGGCCTTTCCTGACCCTGGGACTCCAGCCAGATCGCATGTGCTCCCTCCTCCCCATTACAGCAGTTGGGTTGACAGAGACAGTTACAGTTTGGATGAAGGGGGAACAGACAGCAAATCTTGTGAAATAGCAAAGCATGGTGCAAATATCAACTAGGTTAAAGAAACGATTACTTTCTTAGTAGCACATAAATATTTGACACTCAACTAAGATTTACAAATCACAGAAATAGTTTGACTTTTCCTTTTCATTCTACTAATGTGACGATCTGGTTTGCTTGTTTATATCAAACAAAAACAATCCCAGTAAGGAAAGTGGAGTTCATGTTTTGAAACCTATAAACCTACAGCAAATGTCCTCTCTCCACTAACCCCCCTATCCCTCCATTTGGTTCATGATGTTGGTCCAAGATGCATAGCCAGCATGACCTAGGGTTACTTACCAGAGGCTTTGTCACCACAGACCACACAATACTCTACCACCTGGGGCCGCTGGACATCGGCTTTCCCCAGCAAACGCTCCACAGAGGCAGAGTCCGTGACAATCTAAGAATCAGGAAACAAGCAGGGTGCTGATTAAAAACCAGATCGCTAAGCAAAGTAATGTTTAACTGTAAATTCCTATTCTTGGGTTTCTAAGCAGAACTCTGGGCAGAACTGGGAAAATTCCACCCAACAACTTAATGTGATACCCAGAATGGCCCTGCTGCTCATCTGGTTTGTGTTCCTCCAGCAGGGGGGGGGGGTTGTCCACGGTCAGGCACTGGTTTTCACTGATCTACTCTCCTAATCTAGCTACCACAACCACCCAGGATCAGGGGCCATGTGGGGAATCACACAGAGATCCTCCAACAAGAAGATACTGAATGTCTTGCTGGCTGCCTCTCTATTGCCATGAAACAGCTTGAAAGTATACAGAAAGGTATTTGGCAGAGAAATAATCAAGCTTTATTAATTAAATAACTAGGTCTCTCATTAAGGCAGCTGGAATGGAAGGACTAGGATAGGTGACCTCTAAAACCTGCTATTTCTCCTTCATTTGTAGGTGACTTTCTAGGCAACAAACAGTACTACTCACCTGGAAGAATAACTGATACCAATACTAGAAAGTAAAAAATAGCTATTATTAAATAATGTACCAAATATAACCCTTAAACTGATTTATGTATGGTGAGAATATACACAGAACTCATTATGTAGAATGGCCTTTTGTAAAACATGCAACAAAATCAACAGCCATCCTTTCACAAGGAGTAGTCTAAGTAAGTAGGGAGGAATTCTGATTTCCGATGATCAGAATAAACTCTGGGAAAGCAAAGATGAGGCAGTATGGACTAACTGCACTATGAGGTGGCTCAAAAGTACAGTGCTGAAAGCTGAACATACTGGTGTTCCGAACCCAGCTGTCAGAATAAAAAAAAATCCTTTCCTTCTTTAATTTTCTGCATAGTAGAAAGTCCCCCGTAACACACAGATTCTTAGCAGCATTATTCACAGTAGCCAAAAGGCAGAAGCAACCCAAGTGTCCATCAACAGATGAGTGATAAACAATAGATGAATGGATAAACAAAGTATGGTTTATATATACACTGGAATATTATTCAGCCTTAAAAAGGAGGGAAACATTGACACAGGCTACAACACGGATGAACCTTGAGGATATTATGTTTAGTGAAATAGGCCAGTCACAAAAGGACAAATACCATATGATCCACTTATATGAGGTACCTAGAGAAGTCAAAGTCACAGAGACAGAAAGTAGAATGGTGCTTGCCAGGGACTGGGGGTGGGGAATGGAGAATTAGCGTTTAATGGGGACAGCTTGGGAAGATGAATAGAGTTCTGTGGATGGAAGGTGGTGGTAGTTGCATAACAATGTGACTATACTTAATGCCACTGAACTGGACACCTAAAAAAGATTAAGATGGTAAGTTTTATGTTATATTTTACCACAAATGTTTTAAAAATTAAAAATTAAAAACAAACAAAAACATGGATTCCAACATGACCCTGACTAAACATGCTCCATGCTTGGCCACCGTGGGACACTGGCCTCGAGTCTCTGTTACTCTAAGTGTTGGGCTTGGAAATTCAGTGCTTCCCAATAACGCTGCTTTCCTCCAAGCCCTTGCTCTTCTTCTTGTAGCTGTCCCCGACCCCATCCCACACTGCCAGAGTAGGGAGATACCAGGGCAGAGATGGAGACAAAAACTGAGAGGTCCAGAGGCAGCACTTCACAGGAGCAAGTAAGGACAGTATGAAGAGCTGAACCAGGCCTGACCATCTGGACAAGGCCAAGGTAAGAATTAGAAACAAGTTGGTCCTCATCTGGTTGTGGTCAGCCCTAGGTGATGTCCCTAAAATATCATGGGCCAAAGGCTGCCACCAGCCTTAGTTAAGAACAATCTCCAGTGGCCTCAGTGGAGGCCAGCTTGCCCATGCCAGTCTCCTGTGGGCCCCTGATTCTTTCTGGCTCAACTTCCATCCCATCTGAGCACTGCAGTCAGCTGCCTTCCAGACCCTGCCCTCACTTGCTGGTTTTTAACTTTAGCCAAAGCAGCAACCTGCCATGTTTGCAGGTCCCCAAAGGACCTTCAGGGATAGATTTGACCTCCAAGGCAGAGATGAGAGTCAGGAACAAGTTCAGTAGCAGAAGTGCTAAAACAAATGCCTGTCAACAGGCCTTACCTGGATCCTGCCAGGGACAAGGTTGTCCGAGGTGGTGAATATGAGTTGCTTGGCACTGGATGTCTCCGGGGAAGCCAGGATCACCTTCCCAGTTCCAGCTCCATCTGGGCTGGTCAGGATGAACTGCTGCTTGGGGGATCCAGAGGCGTCCACTGCGGTAACTATCTGGATCTTCTGTCCTGTCTGCTGGTCTGTCACAATCTACAAGACACAACATGGAGGCTGCTCTCACGGAGCATTGTACGACCGTGCACTTGCAGGTGGTGCTCAAAGTGGTGACCGCCCAATGCCGTCCTGGAGTCAATGCTGGTCCAAGATGCAGTTTCACCAGTCCGTGGTGAAATGAGAAAAATAAAACACAACAGTGAGCTTTTCAGAAACCAATTTTCATAATGCTAATTTATTCTAGGATGACATCTTTCCTACTATTTTTAGAATTAAAATGCCCTTTCTTTTACAAAATGAAGACAATAATAAATAATAGATGATAGGTTTAACTTAAAAAAATAATATGCTTGCCCTGGTATAATAAAAAATGTGGGCAAACCCTAACTTTTTTGAAATGCTACTGACCAACAAAATTCAAAAACCTGGGAGTGACTGCTTTGAAGTAGGGCCATTTCTGAAGGGAAGGGCCTGTAAATCATCTTGCCTGGGGTGACAGAATACAGGGAGTCCCTTGCTGACACACACTCAACTACTCCCACTCCCTGACTCTGAGGTCTTTAAGGATAGAGATAACACCCTATTCAGGGCTGTATCCCCAGGGCCAGCACAGGGCTGGGCACATGGAGAGAAGACTGTGATAAAAGACTGTAGAATGCATTGAAGGCAGTGGGTGCTGACTCTGGAGAAGTCCTGACTCTGATTCCCGTGGGTGCTCCAACCTCTCAGGAACCACAGCTGTCGGAACCTGCCTCTTCCTAGAGTCCCTGCCTTACGGCATGAATCACAGTTACAATCTCTTACTCCCAACTCATGAAATTCTCTGAAGCTGTTCTAGTTCCCGTCCCACCTCTCTTCCAAGCCAAGTACCCAGCTTGAAGCACTGTCCACCTTCTCCCTAAGGACACCAGCAGAGGCCTCTGATGCAAACAGGACTCTCAAGGCTGTTGTGGCTGGGCCTTGGGCAAGGGGAGATGTGCTGCGTCTCTGGCTGGAAACTCAGTTCCCTACAGCCTATTTCGGGGCAGGTGTGGTATCTGTGCCACTTCTTCATAGATGCTGCTTTGTGACATGGAATTCCAAGGTTCAGACAGCAAACTCACACAGTCTAACACAATAGATTTGCCAACTATCCAATATGGAAAACCAGACAATGCCGGTTGGCTTAAAAGAAAAGGACACAGTCAAGAAAAGATTCAATCACTTAACACACAACACATGTTTACCGAGTGCCTACTATGTGTCCAGCACTGTTCTGGTCCTAGGGATAGGGGCATGAGCACAACAAAGGTCCTACTGCATGGAACTAACCGAGTGGGGGAAAGAGACCATGAACACTGATATAATAGAATATCAGTCAGTAGTAAGTGTCAAAGAGAAAACTAAAAAGCAGGGTAAACGAACAGAGCATAACATGGGGAAGGAGGCAGGAGGGCAACTTTAGGAAGAAAGACCTCTCTGAGAGAGTGACATTGAGCAAAGACCTGAAAGAAGCAAGAGAGGAAACCATGCAAAGATGTGGCAAAGTGTGTTGCAGGCTGAGGGCGCAGCAAGTGCAAGACCAGAAAAAACAGCAGACTGGGGACAGAAGACACAAGAACAAATCCTTAGCTAATGGCTGGGCATGAATCCCAGTAAATTATCATCTCCAACCGAAGGGCCAAGATCTTTAAGGCTGAAGAAGAACTGATTTAGACAGAAGGAAAGGAAGTGCCTTTCATTGTTACAATCTGTGGCATACCTCAAGTCCCCTGGAACAGTAAAACTTGAGACAGAAAACCTTGTAAAAAGAATTCTCTTTTCAAAAACTTTCCTACCCAAAGCTCAGCTGAAAGACTGCAGACAGACCAGTCGATCTACATTTCTTTCAGCTGCCACTGAAGGGACTCCTGCCTTAGTTAGGCGGTAATAAGCAAAATGGCCTTCGAAAGGCTCTCATAACCTTGAGATCTGAGTCAAATGTTTGACTTCCTTTTCATGTCTATCAATTCTTATTTCCTTCCTAAACTGTTTTCCCCGTTAAGAAATGAAATAGTCATGTGATTGAGAGGGGTCTTCAATTACCAACTACAACCAAGGCAAGGCTAGTAAGTCCTTTGCCCTTGGTGTGTTCACAGATGATGTGTCCTGCACCTGAGCACACAAAGTAATTGGCATGTCACTTCCTTTTATGCTATTCCCCAGTCCTCTTGGTTGAGGCACAGCAGGTATGGGACTAGGGCACGGGGTGGGAGGTAGGAGTGACTGGGTCTAGACAGGAACAGCTGCTCTTGGTAGCTGTATATAACATATCCCAGAGTCCAGATTATTCTTTTCTCTTCCTCCCCAAAGATTCAGGCTCACACAAGTTCAATGAATTATTTACAAACATTTCTTTTTGTCTATCTTTCCCTCCCAAGACATTTGCCTTTTCCATTTAGAGAGATCACTTCCATAAAAAACACTAAAAAGGTAAGCAGAAAAAAAAAATTCCCCCAAATACCCCATTGGAACCCCAGGGTGACCATTAGGCAAACAAAGACCTTGCTAACAAACACGATAAGGTAGACTCCCGATAAATGATAAACGAGACCGAGGAAACACCAAATTGAGAAGATGTATCCAGACTTATTAACATTTAAGTCTCCTGTGGAGGAGGCGTTTTGTGGGTAGAATGTTTCTCCCCAAAAAGAGGGTAAGTCCTAACCCCCAGGACCTGTGAATGTGACCTTATTTGGAAATAGGGCCTTTGCAGATGTAATCAAGGTAAGATGAGGCCATACTGGATTAGGGTGGGCCCTAAATCCAATGACTAGAGGCCATATAAGGCCATGTGATGACCGAGGCAGAGACTGGAGCGACACAGCCACAAGCAAGGAATACCAAGGATTGCTGACAACTACAGAAGCTAGGAAGGGGCAAGGAAGGATGCTTCCCCAGAACCTTAAGAGACAGCATGGCCCTGCCAACACCCAACACCTTGATTTCAGGTTTCTGGCCTCCAGAACTATGAGAGAATAAGTTTCTGTTGTTTTGAGCCACCAAGTTTGTGGTAATTTGTTAGGGCAGCCATAGGAAACTAATACAGGAGGAAAACTTTATTTAATTTCTTTACTTGGAACAAATATTCATACTTCCTGCTTGCAAGCAATAACAAACTGGAGGGAGGGTACTATTATAAGAAGGGATGTCTTGTTTTCCCTGTTGACTTTTAAGGCCCTCTATAGCCCGGCTACACAGTCAGCACTCTATAATGCTTGTTTTGAAAAAGTGCATTTGTTCCAATGCGATTGATATATTAGGGAATAATTTGAGGATAATGCAAATCTTGTGTTTGTTTATACATGCTTTCTTCCACGAGAAACACTATGTAAACACAGAGAACGACGCCCAGGTGAAGCGAGCTGGGTGGGAATAGCCAGCTCAGGGAACTTGGTGTCACAGCTTTCTCTCTGATCTCAGATCACCCTCTGTGCATCACTCACAATAACTCACGGGCTGCAATCCTCCACCCCGCCCCCTAAGCAAGCTTCAGGTTTCTTTCAAGGTAAAATGTCATATTTACCATAGTCATTAGCACTTCCTAACCATTTAACACATGTAGAACTGAAGTTCTTATTAAATTCACACCCATTCTTTAATGTGTTACTGACAGTTTTTGAATCTTGTTCCACTAACCCCATTTTTTCCCATAAGCCCTGTGGTTTTCATTGCACAAGTCTGCATAGTGTGGGAATTTTTAGGAACACATATGTCACATTACAGCAGGGTTGACAGTACTCTAGCAGCCCAAGGCCTTCTCTCAAAAGGTAGACCTGGATGTGACCTGGCACACTGTCATTCCACTCCGTGTTACTCATTCTCTGCTCCAGCTAGGCTGGGCTCATCATTTCTGTTGCAAAGAAGAGTCTGTAAATGGACAGCCTGAAGGCAAAAACCAGCCAATGGATAACTTTTGATTTGCCAAAGTTTAAAATTTCAAAAAACTGGTTGCCAACATCTAAAAATACAATCCTATTTCCTATAAAAATCAGATTTACAGTTCTCTTGACAAACTGGAAGCTCTGGCCATTCTGGGCCTGAACTCCCCCATGGCATGGGCTGGCTGGGTGTGGCTGCCCCTTTAGATAAGGCACGGGCTCTCTGGTTCACCCCAATCCCCACCTTACCCACCTCCTCACTGCCACCTGGTCCTGTAAACACCTGCGTTTGTGATCCTGAGACAGGGCTTTGCATCTAGCGCCGTGAATGGAATGCCTGCTCTTCTGCTTCCCAACTGTGTCAACGTGGAGCAGTTATATGAGCTTTCTGAGCCTCTGTTTACATATCTATAAAAAAAGATTACTAGGAAAGTGAAACGATATGATGTCTGTGAAAGTACCTGGTACACTGCCCAGAACATAACAGGACCTTGATAAAAGTATTTCCTCCCTCTAAGCTCTTGCATACTTCTCTCCTCACTTGGGAAGTCTTCTATCCCTTTCATCTCATCAAATCTCTCCCACTGAGAAAATCAGGACTTTCTACTACGGCTCACTCACTCATTCCTCAAATACTTACTCTGTGCCAGGCGCTTTGCTAGATTACAGGCATTATGGAGATGGCTCCTGCTCTTACAAAGCTTTTAGTTTAGTGGAAAGACTGGCAAAAGCAAGTAAACATGGGCCAGCCCGGTGGCGTAGTGGTTAAGTTCGCGCACTCCGCTTTGGCGGTCTGGGGTTTGCAGGGTCGGATCCCGGGCGCGGACCTACGCACTGCTCGTCAAGACATGCTGTGGCAGCATCCCATATACAAAGTGGAGGAAGATGGGCACAGATGTTAGCTCAGGGCCAATCTTCCTCACCAAAAAAACAACAACAAAAAACAAGTAAACAGACCAACCAGTAAACAATTTAAGTTTATGATACATGTTATGAGGGAAAAGATCAAGTTGGAGTAAGAGAGAATAACACAGGCACTTAACTTTAGAAAGAGAGGTCAGGGCCGGCCCAGTGGCTTAGCGGTTAAGTGCGCACGCTCCGCTACTGGCGGCCCGGGTTCAGATCCTGGGCACACAC